AACGTCTGATGACCATTTGATTGGTCTACATTGAAAGAGAAAGGAATAATTCTAAACTGGTTCGGAGAAGGAGGGAAAAGTAAAGGTAGAGACCACATAAACTAGAGAATGGCGAGAATGAGATGAAAAAGGAAGAAAGAAAAAAGACCCAGCCTATGGGTGCCTCCGTTGTAACATGTGGGATTGGATGAGGGGTGGAAAAACCCGCAAAAGCCGAGAAAGGTGATGTAGACGCTGCAATGACAAGCAAAGGTTACATATTAAACAATGGCATAGGTTGACTGACTGGAAGCAAGGGAGAGAAAAGAAAAAAGAACAAAGCCGGCCGTTTCCTGTTTATCATGAAAGGGGAATGGGGGAGGTCTTTAAATTTCAACAGTCTTCATGTCGTCTAATGCATCTGCGTCTAGGCCTTTAGAGGGAGTTGTTTTATCGTTGGTGGGTGGGCTGTTCTCTTTGGCTTCGCCGTTTGTTGCTTGTTCAGAGGATATTTCTGTTTTTGTCTCGGGAGCCGGGAAAGGCTCGGTTGGCTTCTGCAAGACGGGAGAAGAGAGATCCACCAGGTCGTCTGATTTTCTTAGTTTGCTTTGAATCTTCAAGTCTAGCTCGTTCTTAGTGGTATTGTTGTTCACGGGAGAAGACGTTTCCTCAGTCACGCGTGCAAGTGGGCTCGAAACACCCATTGCTCCCGCAGGACTTCCGGTAGGTCCTCGGGATGGGAATCGGTGGGGTGACCTGCCTCTGTCTTCACTGGGAGTCGGGCTGCCGTATGGAGAATCCCTGGTGGTTTTGCCATTGATGTTGGTATTCACTCCGAGCCCGTTGGATCGTCGTTTGGGCTGCCGTCTGCCGTACTTCTGGTCGGTTCTCCAGCGGAGGATCTCGAGGTATGGAGGTTCGTGCTGTCTGAAGGGCTTCAATTTCAATTCACCACCTTCCTCATCAACGTAGACGTGCGGTGAATGAAGGTCGTCTGCTACAGTTGCGAGGAACGATGCCCAAGATCTCGCAATGACGTACTTGCAGTCGTAGTCGCGGCCGAAGATGATGACTTGTCCCCATTTTCCAGCTGGTCCCGGTGCAAGGTCAATGGCAATGTTGTTACCGCCCCAGTCTCTAGCAAGAGGGATCCAAGCTGGGTGAGCATAGGCCTTTTGTATGGCTCGAGGAGGCTGGGAGTCCTGTCTGTCAAGTAGTTCCTGTCTCCACAAGGGGTTTGATGCATTTTGCTGGGGTGCGGGGGGCGGTGGTGGTGCAGACGAGGATGATGCAGCTGCGCCGCCGTAGGCCCTCAATGGAGGTTGAGGGTGAGAGACAGTCGAACTGGAGAGGAATTCTTCATTGACGGTTCTCCAGTTCTTCCACTCCTGGACAATTTCTTCACAGTCGAGGAGCATGCATCCAAAAATGATGCCGGTTGGTAGGCCGCCACGCTCCTGACCGTCGTGAACCTGCAATGACTCGCGCACCTCGAGCGGTAGGCTGCAATCCAGCTCGTGTTCTAGTTCATTGACGTCATTCTGCGTACATCCTTCGCAAAGCTGGTCAAAGAGTTCCTCGTAATTCTTCTCGACCCACCGATCAATCTTCTTCCAGGAATGTGAGACAGGAGGCGGAGGAGGAGCACCATCATGAAAGCTCTGCATCTGTATCTCGCTGCCATCTACCGAGCTCTGGTCGAGTTTTTGGGAAGATAATGATCTCATCCCGGGGGAATACGGTCGTGTGGGGGAAGTAATTGTGTTTTGCGAGGTCGAGGACCGACTAAGGGATGGCGGCTCATCGAAGGAGTTGGTGAGGTCTGGCCGCGACTCAATGGCGCTGGTTGCTACTGAGGTTAGAGGGGCATCACGGCTCTGGCTGAGAGGAACGTGCTGGCCGGTCCTGTACGGAGAATCGTGAGAAGCATGACGGTCGTTGGAGGTCATGGTATGCCAGAAGGAGCGCCATGTTGACGAGAATCTACATTTTTTTTTCGGAGTGTGTTAGCTCTTCTGATTCCACCAGCGGTCACCAAGGCAGCACTGGGTGTTTCCGACTTACGATGCTGCCATGATAGGAAGTAAATCTTTTAAACAAAAAGAAGTAGAAAGTAGAAAACCGTTTCGTCAAGCTGGATCTTGAGGTTAGGGGATGTCCTCGGTACTGGCAGCTTAGGGGGTTCCTTTTTCCTGGCTAAGCTAGTCTCGGGACTAGGACAGACGACGTCGTAGGCAGTGCAATGCAGGCCCTGTGTATTTGTATCTCTATATCAGTCCACAGAGCGGTGTCTCCTCGAACCGAGGATGCAGAGTGAATGGTTACAAGCCGCCGGTGGCTACTGGGCGTCTGCACTGGGTGGAAGACGGACGGAGGGGGCACGCCAGCGCGGCAGGCCAACCGCAAGCAAGCTAGCCCGGGAAAAGGCGAGTCGAACGCGTGAGACGAAGCTCAGCAGCAGCCGTCCGGCACCGAGAAGGACAGAGAGACGAGGAGCTGTCGCCGGCGAGCTGGAGGCGCAGAAGCTGGAGGGAGGACAGGGAGGGCGGGCGACGATGGGCAGCGAGGAGAGGAGTTGGGTCGGGGAGGGCGAGGGAGTTGAGAGCGGGAAGAGGAAGAAAGTCGACTTTTTGTTCGCTCCAGAAGGAGGACGCCGAAAGATTACGGCATGCCCGTAACGGCCTGGAACGTGGCTCGTGCATGAAATAAACACCAGCCAATCAGCGGCGCCCAAGCCACGCTCAAGCCACAGTGAGTGACATGAAACGCGGTGGAGCCCTGCTGGGCACGCCTTGGCGCCCATGGCCCGCGGTATTCGTATTACCAGCACCCTGTATCGATATATCGACATATATCAAGGGGCTTTTTTTTTTTTTTTCTTCCTACTCTTTCTTTGGGCTTCTCTGCCTCTGCCTTTTTTTTTTCTCTTCTTAGGGAGAGAGAGGGAGATTTATGGAGAGAAGACAAGGATGGAGAATCGCTTCGTAGTGAGATCGATCGACTGTGGTGGGCGGTTACATTCCTGACTGCCGACGGGCCCCCGGGCATAGACTGGGAGTTCACATCCCTCGCAGCTGTGCATGCCCATTTACGGAGTACATTTCCCACTCATGTTCTTTTTTTGGCGTGCAAGGACGGACAGACAGACAGACACGAGCAAGAAAGAACAGGGTGGTGGCAAATTGGGTAGTAAACTAGTTGGTTGACGCCGTGAAATAAAATAGGAGACCCATAAAGTCCTTGGTGCATGGTGTATGGTTTCATGCCCGGGGAACATGCAGGCCCGTCGAGAGATCGAACATGCAGTAAAGTGCATGAGTGCCTGATACAGAATGCCTACATACGCACTTTACCTCTGTCTCAACCTACCAGCGTCGACGACTCCTGAAGCGCTTGATACAGGATGTGATGCTTGTGGCGGGAGCTTCCAGGATGCTTCGCTGCTTAAAATGACTGTGGCCACCCCCTGAAAACCTTGTGCTTAAAGCCAGCCGTGCCGGGGCCTCCTCTCATAGGGCAGAGGCTGGCGCTGGGACTGCGATCTCGTAGCAGAGATATCTTCCCGGGCGGCAAGCAGCGGTTACCAACACTCTATTGGCCCCTTTTTTGGTTCCTTTTTTTTACTCTATTTTAATCTTCTTTATCCTTTTCTTTTTCCCATTCTTGTATCTTTTTACTGGCATTGAAAATATGAGCAAACAAACGAGTGTGATATTGAGTGATGGACTGAAAGTGTCTAGTGACAGTGGGATGTTGAGTCGCCAAGTTCATGATAAAAGGAGAGAGGTCAAACGAGCGTGAGGATGTCATCGAGGACATCGATATAGAAAACAGCAAAGAACCCGAGATGAGAGAAGAAGGTTAAAGCGAGCGACGATGGTAGGGAGGAAATTAAAAGAAAAAGAAAAGGAAAGGGAAAGGAAAGGATAGGGTGCAGTGTATAGTAATATTGACGTGGAGGAAAGGCAGGCATCAGGGGTACAGTCAGGTACAGTAAAGAAGGTCAAGCAAGGGAACACAACTCCATCAACCCCCAGCACATGCATATGCATACCATAAACAATGAACATGTAGCTAGCGGCCAGCCGAATCATTCATCCAGGTTTCCCATACGAAGAACATAAAGCGAAGAAAGAGGACCCAGGCAGGTATAAACTCCCTTGAAAGAGCAAAGAGCCGTGAGAAACAACCATATCTCTCCGGTCGTCAAACCGAATAGAACGAGCAAACAACCAGCCAAGCCAAAGTGCACGTTGAAAGATGATAAGAATATGTAAAAACGGGAAAAGCAGTGAAAAAAGCAGATGACAGGAGAAAAGAAGGAAGAAAAAAAAAAAGAAAAAAAAAAACTCCAGGATATCATCCATCCTCGTATGACGCCATGCTAAGCTGAGTGGTGCTGTGCTGTATCAGAAAATAGCAAAGGGAGATAAAACTGTCTGGCAGATAAAGAAACGAAGGCAAAGGGTTGACTCCGGACTTTGGGAACCCAACTGAAAACCGTAACCGTGACAAACATGCTTCCATAGTCCAGATCAACATCGCAGATGATATGAACGCTGGAAAGTCGAAAAGTAACAGGGGCAAAGAAGAGAAACTTCTCCTAGTCTGGCTTTGAAAGGGAACATAAAAAAAAAAGTCAAGCATTGAGCGACGGGGAAAGCAAGGGGAAAAGAAACAAAAAATGCAGGCTTCGACCGGAAGATCATAGCAACATTGGATGGACAGTCAAGTGATTATGACCACTTTCACAACTGGCACAATAGCTGGGGTATGCATAAGACGTAGGGACGGAAAAACTGGCCAACCAAAAAGAAAGAAAAGAAAAAGACGAGTTCGTAAATAAGGTCGGCTGAGAATTCGATAGCCTGACCTGACCCAGTGAACCATCTAGGAGGAACGCCGCTCTGTGTTCTCGGGGTGTTGACCATCGCCCACATTAAGGTTCAACATACGCCGTAAGTCATCTTCCATTCGTTTGGTTTCTGCAGAATCCAGCTTTGGCGGAGGGCAATTTCTCGCAGGAGGCGTAGAAGAGTTCGATTGCATTGTCCGGTTCGGCGTCGGAGAAGTAAGGGCGCCTTCAGCTGACCCATTGTAGCTTGCATGAGCTGGAGGAGCACTGCTAAGCCCAAACTGTGCATATCTCGAGAAGGACTGTTGACGAGGCGGAGTAACCGGGTTGGTTGGAGACACCATACTTCGCAGCCCAGAAGATGGTGCGGGTGGACGGTGGGTTTGGGCGCACAGGGATGCTAGATATTGCTGTGGAATAGTGCTCTCCGAACCGCTATATTCGTTGCGGGTTCCTAAAGGTTTACCGGAATGGGCAAAAGGTACTGGTGAAGCGGGGCCAGAAGCATAACGAGTGGGTTGCTGGTACATAGAGTAATCCCCAGACATCCTGAAATTGTTTTTATTATTACTGCTATTGTTGCTGGGGCTATTCGAGGGATCCGTGAGCCTCGGGGACGCTGAGGCTGCACGCTGCGGAGGAGGGTTAAGAAGTAGGTTTTTGAGAGCTTCGCTTTTGAGTTTGTTGGTATTAGTCGTGTTGTTTTCTCGTGTTGTGCCAGGAAGACCTCCTTGTTTCCCCGGGCTAGTTGCACGCAAAGCATTCATTCGATCTTTAAAAGAGGTTGCAAATGAGGGGCCAATCGGCGACATTCGGGTATCTGAGCCTTCTAATTCTAAAGGAAACACCCCACCACTGATCTGTCTTTCACCCTGCTGTGGCCGTGCCTCATTTCTCGGAGGTGTGGATCCATTGAAAGGGCCAGAGTCCTCAAGCTCGCTCACAGGGTTGGCGGCTCTCGCCTGACGTGCGGCCTTGAAAAGAAAATCGAGAGGCGAAGCTGTACCAGCTTCCTGTTGGGTTTGCTGGGGGGTATTATTCGCCTTTGTAGGCGTACTGTCTCCCGGGTCGGTGTCTGGTGACTCATCCTGGAGCTCATCTGAAGTTCGACCGTCAGTTTCCGGCACTGACTTTGAAAAGAACGATGGTATTGGGAGCGCCGATGGCGCAGGAGAGGCATGGAAGGTTGGTCCGGCATATAGAGGGCTATCTTTGATAGAAGACTGCGAGGAGGTATGACGGTGACCGTGGCCAAGGCTCGCATTTCGAGCTGGGGCCGGCGAATTCTTGTGAGTATCTCTATTTTTCTTTGCTGACCGGCCATTCTTCGCCTTCATCGCACTGTCAGACGCACGGTTCCCCGAGTCACTGGCAACATTCGAGTCTCGGTTTGCTGCTTGAGTAGTGTTCGTCTTATCAGGCTGACGTGAGGGGTCGGCAACACCGGATTTCGACGACGGAGTGCGCTTCTGGTAACGCCGGCCATTTCGAGGCGCCTTGGGCGTAGTAGGAGCCGGACTTGACATCTCGTGTCGCCTTGGGCCGTTGTAGGTGGCTTAATAAATAGGCAGCCGTAGATATAAGAATAATAAGGAAAAGAACCAAAGGAAACGAAACCAAGAACTAGGAAGAACGCTCCAAGAAGAGGCGAAGAATAAAAAGGCTTGCACGCAACAAAACAGGTCTATTGCGCTAAGGTATTCACTGAGTAGATGAGCAAGACAACGATGACGACCGTTGTGGTATGAAGGCTGCGTGGAAGCGGGTTCAGCTGGCCGTCGGAAATGTAATGTATGGCTGGAGGTGTCGGCTGTTTATATCTGTGAGAAGCGCAAACGAAAACAAGGGCGGTCCCCCTAACATATTCATAACTTATCGGGCGGCAAGATCAGAGTACGCTGCGTGTTTCACGTTGGTGGCAGGAAGAGGCGCGATGGGGGCAGTTTTTGTGTCTTGTAGAGGGCTGTCGTCGTTGCTTGTTCGTCGATGTTTGAGTCGATAAAGGCGAACTGCGCAAAAAAGCTCCGCCTGGTTGGCTGTCTTGGGGGCGGGGGGGAGTGGGACCGAGCTTGGGGTCATGTGACATAACGGGAAATCTTATCTCCGCTACTTCTCCCGCCGCACGAGGTAGGTTAGGTCGGCTGCCTCCAGCGTTTACCTCCATCTGACATCTGGACGACGAAGCCGTTGACGGAGAAGATAGGTGGTGACAGCGTTGAGTGCTGTGTTTCAAGCTGGGCGGCATTGCAAACAAGACTAGGATATCCTACACAGGCTGCATTCATAGAGGTACGACCCATCGCGCTGCTGACTGTTAGATAAGCGCTTGTTAACTCATAGAAGGCAACAGCCGCTGTTTCTAAGCGTCAACGTCGGACCTCCCAGCACATAGAGTATAGGAGTTTACTTCAAGTGACCACACGAGAGAACTCCTTCCTTCACTTGTACGAAGTTGATGATTGTTTGTCCTCCACAAAACCATGGCAGATGTTGAAATGACGGATGCTGCTGGAGATGCCAGCAAGGGGAAAGCTGTAGCTAAGACCACAAAGGCCGATGCGGCTGGGGAGGGTAAGAAGAGATTTGAGGTCAAAAAGGTGCGTGATTCCTGATGGAATTTCCCTCGGAGTCGTTCACGTCTGTCACTGCTGGAATGAAGGTCCTTCTCCCGCTGATTTTGATATTGGGATACTCTAGTGGAATGCTGTTGCTCTGTGGGCGTGGGATATCATCGTTGATAACTGTGCTATTTGCCGAAACCACATCATGGACTTGTGTTAGTTATCATGAAGCTGCTATGCATGCCATCTCATATCCGACAGTTTCTCTAACGGTGCTATAGGTATTGAATGCCAGGCCAACCAGGGCTCATCTACCACAGAGGAGTGCACAGTTGCTTGGGGTATCTGCAATGTAAGGATACTCTGTCTAGGCGTTAACTTTCATCGGCTAACACATTTGCTTTTCAGCACGCGTTCCACTTCCACTGCATCTCGAGATGGCTAAGAACCAGACAAGTGTGCCCACTCGACAACAGAGATTGGGAATTCCAGAAATACGGACGATAGATTGTCTACCGTATTTGGTTTCTTACTTTCTCTCCTCTTCCCCGCTCCGCTGCCCGTCATTTTTCAACATAAATAAAGCTTTATGATATTCAAACCAAGGCGAGGATTCCGGCGTATGTAGTTCAATGGCTGTGAAGTTATGGGATTCGAATTCAAGACCTGGCAATTCTTACGGATCCTTTCAAGAAAAGAGCTACAAGCTTTCTCTCCTGTGCTGCCTACTCCAAGATAGAAGCAGCCGGGTAGAAGGGGACTTCCTAGTACCTCCACAACATGATAGGCAAAAAAATAAGCTAGTCCAGGATGAATTTGACCATTGCGCAACGAAACAAAAATCCACAGCAAGAATAAGATTATATCGTCATCAACCCCGCGCTTTGTCTATAACGATTCCGTCTCTGCCGATTCCTCCAGCTCCCGTGACGAGCCATGACTCAGGATGTTGGTTATACATAGGCCATGGGGGAACAATGGCCAGCATAGTTAATATGGAGCCAGCCGTCATCGTCCAGAGTGTTAGAAAGACGTCCTCGTACGCATATCCGACTAGAAATGAGACCACCTAGAAACCAAACCCCTTGTTACTATTCTATACCCTAGCAAGAATTTCGAACTTTACAGTTCGGCCCTAATATATCAAACGTTCTGCTCGGGTATAACTCACGGCGAATATAGAAAGGAGGGCTGTTGACAGGAAGTCCGTTACTCGTTGGCCATGGAAGTCCTACCAAACAGCATTAGTTACCAAGAACACCTAAGGATGACAGACTTCAGGGACAGCTCACAATTGGGCCATCGAGAGCCTCCCGGAGGGGTCCAAGGAGCTCATCCATGATTTATAATATTGTTCTATTGGTGCTGGTTGCCGTCCCAGCTAGAGCTTTGCCATGCGCAGTCAAAAGGAAAGTAAGAACAGTTTGGCAGTTCTGTTGCTGACTAATATAACAAATCATCACTATATCACGTGATAGAGTTTGAGCTTAAATTACACCAAAACATCTTCACTTCAACACGAGCAACTAATGGGAGAATCGACGCACAATTCGCACCCAACGCAACCCGTCACATTTACTGACCCTGTATGAGGGATGGAGTGCGGACAGTATAAGCTTTGATGCTTGTTCCCAGATATATAGATGATCCCAGATCACACCAAGTTGGCACCCTTGAGGGTGGACTTTGGTCGCTGAGGCCGCCTGAGATTCCAATCAGTGTCGGTTATTTCAACATGCAATTGTGATTGCGCCAGCTTTGCCCCCGTTATCATGACTTTTTATCGACCAGTCACACCTGCTTGGCAAGTGATCAGCACGCTAAGCTTTCGGCTCTTGGTTGGGAAACAATCAAGCATCTCTGGAGCTAGGAAAAGGGATCTCCAGGCGGCTTCCGGGTGGGCCATAGGTCCGCATTTATAGCAGGACGGCAAGTATTCGGAGGAGGGGTAGCCAGAAATAATCTAAACGTGGCCATCATTTTGGACTCTGTTTGGTCTCCTATAATAGGAAGCTACTCGACAATATGGAGCATAATGTGCATTCATTCTCCACTCGAGGAAAGATCCTGGCAAGTTCTTCGAATTCTTCTTCTGAACCCGATTCCTTATCTACTTGACTTCACTCCTCTATTTTATGTCTGCTGTTTATGCATTAAATACTTCGGCAAGTTGTCATCCTAGTATCCGTCTTTGTCCACTCCGTTCTCCTGATATACCTGCAAACTATACTTTGCAAATTTACTGCGTGCCCGGATCCGTGGTCCATACCTGGTGAACAAGGGCGGAATGATGCAGAAGACAGTGGCCAAAGCTGCAAGAATAGAAGTGGCTAGATTCGCGCCCAGCACTTCGTACATCCGTCCGGCAAATAGTGGGAAAACAGCAGAAAGTGTGGAACGCACAAGAGATAGAGCAGCGAATCCACTCGCGGAATAGCTCAGGTAGCTGTCGGCTAGATAGCCGGCTAAGACGGCGTCGAACTCATTTAATGCATAGCCGATCAGCACCAGGGATATAGCAGATACCACCCAGTGGACTCCAGGAACGCGCGGCGGAATAGTCCATGCAAACCACCAGAGCCCAACCGCAAGAACCGGAGCGCCAATAGAGAATCCAACAAGCTTATGTTCTGGCTGCAGTACCTTGCCTTCTCTCTGGTATTTTGTGATCATTCTATGATCAAAGATACGGGTGAGAACTCCACTGATCAAACCGATGCCAATCGTGAGGAAAGGAAGGGACGAGTTTGCGCTGGAGAATCCAAGGTTCTCATATATCGGGGGAAGAGCCTCTGTGAACAGATAGATGAGTGCAAAAGCTACTGCACTAATCGTGGCGACCATGAAGACAATCGGCTCTGTAAAAAATAACTTGAGGGGTCGGAAAAGAGCTATCCGAGCAAACGTCTTTATGTCCGGGGTATGGTCAGGGTTTAGAGCCTTGAGTGTGGTCATACCGGTTGACTTCTGCAATTTCGCAACCTCACGGGAAAGGAGTAATGATGGCCTAGATTCGCGAATCCCAAACAAAAGAATGGTGATCACAGCAGTGAAAATAGCAGACACATGGAAGACCCATCGCCTAGAACGAAACAGCAGTCAGTAAGGAGGGTCATACCCGCATACTAGGCTGATCAAACTCACCAGTCCAAATGATCGATGACATAAATGCTCATGATGGGTCCAAGGATCAACCCCATGTTAGCCACCATTGCCCACATGAAGATCAGCCAGATGCGGTCTTTGGAATTGAAAATGTCCTCGATACTTCCTGCAACTACAATGGTCGGAATGGCCGATAAGAATCCAGAGAAGAAGCGGCCCACTACGACTCCAGCTACGGAGGGAACAAGCCCGACCACAACGCAAAAAAGACTGTATAGTCCAGTGCTGACGATATATAGCTTTTTGCGTCCAAAAGTCTCCGAGTATGGCGGGAATATGATCCCTCCGACTCCTTGGCCTAAGAGATACCTAGTTTTTCCGAGAGAGAAGGCCTATAATTAGCGTGAAAGGCTTTACAGTGTAACTGGGGAAAGGAACAAGCCTCTACTTACACCGAAACGAACAAGAAGACTGCCAGGGTACGGCTAAGTCCGTACTCATGTCGTGCGTGATCAGCAGCTGCACTCTGCAGGGTCTCGTTGTTAGAATCACGCCATGTTGGAGCTGTGATTAAGGATCAACTTACACCTGCTGTACTCACGGCCGTTCTACGCATGAAAAAAATACCCGTCAGTAAGCAGTTAAATTGAACAGAATAGTGAGAGGGCAAAAGAGAAGCGTGTCAAGTGGTCATACGTGAAAAGATCCAAAATAATGATCAAACCGCTGTCATAGATCTTTCGTAACATGGACCAATTGCGTGGGTGCTTCGGGTTCGAAGCTAGCCAGCGTATATGCTCGCCATCAGGGGTATATTCAAGACCGTGTTCCTCCAGCAGAGCTTGTAGGTTATTCTCCCCTATTGTAGGAGGAACTTCAAGCTTCGTCACTGACGGCTGGGAGCTGGGTGTATCGCCGGGAGAGCCCATTTCGACGTGACCACTTTCAGGCGTCCGTTGGCGGTCTGGAAGCGCAAGACGAGGTTTGAAAGATGAATGGCAGAAGTTGTAGGGTGAGCTCCTACATCTGTATTCTTTGTAGACAAGAGAAGAACGGATATAACCTCCTGACTAAACGGTTAATTGAGGATATCAATGGGGCGTAGAAGAGGATTTCTGATACAACTTTAGTTACCTGCACAGCAGCAGAATATTCCAAAAGCTGAAAGGTCCGCAAAACAGCTAACTGGCCTATCATATTAGGCGGCGCAAAAGACGTAATAATGCCTAGTGTTGAAGGATCCACGAACAGGGTCAAGCGAAGTCACTAACTGGACGGGCCGGTAAAGTTTTTTGCTCTTCTTTTGTCGTCAGAAAGCCACATCGATGTGCATGCAAGCTTTTTTCAAACCCATTTCTTAAGTGATCAGCGTCAGCTTGTGATCCCCGTAACTAGATCTACCGTCTGTCTCAGCTAGTTGATTATTGATGATTTGGCGAGGTCCCCTTTTGCCCTTCATCAAATTAAGTCTCCGCCTTAAAAGTATTTTTAGGTTCATCCCTGACAAGCTCTTGCGCTTTGAACAAGTTCCTGCCCGCCTTAAATCGGTCGAGTCTAGGCGATCCTTCTCAGCTTGCAGACAAACCTTGAAGGTTTCTAGAACGTCCCAGCAAAATGTGTCGACGCCCTGGTATAGACACATTTCCCACGGATAGGACATGGTCAAGAAAACCTTGGAGAGAACGTGCTGGATGCAAGGGTTGGTAGATATTTGGATGCATGAGAACCTCATCCTTCAAGATACATGGGTACAGATTTGACACAAAGGCAAATGACCAAGACTGAATTTGTACTATAGCGGTGAGTATGGAGACTGGAAACTGGAGACTGGAGCCTGAAGCCTGAAGTCTGGAGTCCGGAGTACGGAGTACTTCGATCATCATCAGCGGCGTTGGCGCTATTCCTGTGGACTAGTTAAGGGGGTTTGGAGATCGGGCGAAACGGATCGCCACTTTTGCGTGTACCTCAACCAGCTTTTACCAGAAGGCTGAGCTGATAAAAGAGGCTCTTGGGGTATGGTAAATTTAACTTGATTTTATTGGCAGGGACTCCCTTGGGCAGGCAGCAACGTATACTTCGAGAAAGCCTAATTGGCATGCAATACGCAATGCTGCAATGTAATGCATTAAACAAATGGAAGCAGGGCCCCGCATGGCTCCTATTGCACTAAACTGTCGCAGCGGAGATGTGTACGCGGAACGGTGTTAACTCAGGTATTGAAATCGGGAAAGTGACTTTCAACCTGGTCATCTGGGCCTATTCCTCCACCGCGAATCGTCCTATAATGTTCTTATTGACGATGCATGAGTGCAGGGTTGGCAATATGTCTATGGCGAACTGGGACGGTTTACTCATTTGGAGGATCCAGACTTATCCGGTATCTCCCGAAAGGCCAGTTGGATGGGTGGCATATCCATCAGACTTGTAAAGGGGCTTGCAAGCCAGGGGCTGAACGGGTATATATATATGTATGTTGCCGGACTGAAGCTGCGGGAAGAAAGGAGCAGATCCAACGCATCCACATCTTTTGGTATCAAATCAGCTAAAAACGCAGGCATCTGTCATTCGTCACAATGGCCACCATTGCTCTCGCCCTCGTCTGCGCTCTGTTTTATATCATCTTTGTTCTTATATCCCGGAACGGAAACCAGAAGGGTCTCTCTCACGAAGGTTTCTTCCAGCGTGTTACCCATCTGCTCCAGAGCATCGGTCAGCAAACGGGACCTCAGGGTTCAAAGATATTGAAGAGGTACGACATGCATATATGGACTTATCTGGAAGAGGGACTTCAGAGCACTCCACTAATAAGCCCCATTTGCCGAGTACAGGAAAGAGGTTGAAGAAACGCTTAGCCCTACGACATGGCAGAGACAGTCGTATGATGCCTTCCAAGCCGCCGTCTGTTCAACAGACCCTGTAGCTTTCCCTTGTGTATATGCTACCAAGGGCTTCAAGGCAAAGGAGCACAGATATATCTTCTTGGACTCCGAAGATATGAACAACAAGAAGAACATTGCCACCTTGGCCGCCGCACTCAGGGAATATCTTACAACGCCGCAATCGGAACTGGGCCCCAACACAAGTCTGGTTGTTCTTTTCCCCATCATCAACTCACAACTATCGCCTCAAGAATACCATCAGAAATACTGGGACTGTCTCCGTGCTCTGAGAAGAGTTGACACAAAGCCATGGCCATCACACATCCCAACGGACACTGATACTCCGCTGTGGAAATTTTGCTTCAATGGCGAGCCAGTGTTCAGCGCAGCCATGACGCCTTCCCACGAGAAGCGAAGATCACGATATGCACCATGCTTTTGTATTGTCTTCCAACCTAACTTTGTCTTTGATATTCTCTTTGCCACGGATCTGAAGAAGAAAGCGGCTATCTCAAAGGTTCGAGGACTGCTGGCCGATTACGACGAAGTGCCCATTAGCCCGGAATTGAAGAACTACGGAGATGCCACTGGTCGGGAGAGTAAGCAGTACTTCATCATGGATGAAAATCAGTCATCGCCTCCATGCCCTTACACATCCCTTGATGTCTAATGAGATTTCGGAAAGCTGTGTTTCATTTGGTCGGTGCATTGGCGGCAGGCTGTAGACCATAGAGAACAAGATATAGACGTTTCTATGGATTATTAGGGTGACGGAAATAAAAGTCAGGGCAAAACCCAATTGTTTTATTTTTTTCCTCATTTCTTTTCTTCTGCTTCCCAGAGGTAATAATGGTATGCTTGCATGTTGGTCTAACGGCTGCCCCTAGTCGCCGAATGTCACACCACCGCGACGGTTGGGTATCAATTGCTGGAGTAGGGAAGAAAAGAATTATCAAGCGATTAGCCTGATAGTCATGTTGTCTCAGAATTAGTCATGAAGATGGCCCAACTCTTGAAAGGCCCAAGGGAAGTTTCTGAATAGAAGAGCGACGATTGGTAGGAGATATATCAATATAGCCATCACGGCTAATGAAAGCCACAGGTGGAGCAACAACAAAGAGGGAAAAACCACGCAAGGCGCCTAATTGGATTTCTGGTTTCCACGTGACCCGTCGATATCGCGCAGATCCATTTTGATAGCGACTGACTGGCCGATTCAAATATCAAATTTTTGCGTCAAATATAATACGTAGGGAGCCTTCGAAGCCTCTTAGCCTTCTCTGTATGACTCAAGCATTCTTCGGGCTACGCCGCCCAACCAACAATTGGCTGTTAAAAAAAAAAAAAAAAAAACCGAATGACAACTTCGGTTTTGGTCGTTGCTCAAGATGTTGTTCCACGACCGTGCTTTTGACAAGCCGAAGATGAACAATTAATTGGAGAAGAGCCGAGATCAAAAGCGGTCCGGCGAGGACGCCTTGGGTAGCAACTTGGCGACGACTAACGGGAGTACAGGCTCACGGGCATTCCATCTTGTACAGCTGACATGCAGCTCGACAGCAAAGAGGTAGCACGCCGACTATCAAAAAATGGCTAGATGGACCACAAAGAGGCTCGGCTATCGAATCGGATTAAGCACAGGCTATAAATGTATACTTATAAGAAAGAATACCGAAACGAAGAAGAAAGCTGATCACGGGGGTTGGAGCTTTATATATATCATCAGCCACATCATAGACGACCAGCGCCAAGAACAAGGCCAGGGCTCCTACACCCACCTGCATCTTCCGTAGCACCCGGTCCGAGCATTTTCTTTCCGGCAGTGACCATCTGGCCATCTCCGGCTTCCGCCAGCCGTCTTGCGAGCATCCTCTCATCCAGTCATCTCTGCAATCCTGCCGTCTTTCGTATTCGTCGTCGTCTTCCTCTTTATCTTGCTTTGTAGTGGCGGGAAGTGTCAACAACGCCAAGCTTCATTATCCCTCTTTTGGCTTGGTCTGTTTAACTTTTGCTGGTATTCCTGATGACTCAGCAGATTCTCTGTATTAGATAAACCACCCGCTTCTGTTTTTATTTTTTTATTTTTTTTTTTTTTTTTCTTCTTTCTCTCGTTTTTTTTTTTTTTCGTCTTTTTTCGCCGACCGCCACAGTGCAGACCTTGCATCAACAACCTCAACTACCACCAGCAACGACCAACAACCGCCGTCTCAGCACCAACGCAACTTCGAAATCAAGCTTGTCATTGTCGCAGCTAGGCAAGGCAGCTCAGAGCACGGATCTCGCGGACAAAAGCTAGCGATCGTCGTCGAGGGTAGCTTTTGACTGTTTCTCTTATCTTGTTACTCGAAACAGTGAGTGACAAGCGCAGGAAGAGCAGCAGCCGGACGCAGCCTCTTCCCGCCGTACTTTTCCTACCCAGCGACTCTGGAGCCTCGACGCTCCCATTCTGAAAACTCCGGCAAGTTGGCGGGGCTTAACTACATTCAGAACTCCTTCCTCCACCCTCTCCTGGGCCCCAAGTTCCGGGTCTTTGTCGGGGGAGACATCCGACCTCCATAACTTGACCCCCGCAAATATATGGCAATACGCGAAGCAATACACGTTGATCACACGCAGCCAGCCCTTTTTCGAGGGCTAGGCTGGACCGGACCATCCAACTAAACAAGAGTGGCCGTTTTCCCGCTGAAGAGAAGGGGACTTCTTCATTTGGTTTAAGCTTATCAAAAACTCACATTATCGTTCGAAACTGCAGAGTGAGCATTACCCTGCGCGTTCGCTCTACGAGACTACGCATACCCTGCAGTACTTCCCACAATTGGACAGTTTTAAGAACACAAGGGAAGGAAATCTAGAAAAACCGACCCAAAAAAAGAGCCAAATAAAACGAAGATAATAAGGATAAGAGCACAATGAGTGATTCACCAAAGTCGGACAAGGGTGAGACCAGGTTCCTCACGCCCGCTCCAGAGTTGGACGACCACCGGTTCCAGGCCGAAGGTCTTCCCAGAGCAGACATCATGGAGAATCCAGCCGCACGAGGCTCTCTCGAGAGCCGTGACCGGCCAGAGCTTCTGCTACCGATTAACGGCAACACAATGCAAGAAAGGGCCCCAATATGCAGAGACTTTGAGCACGCTGTTATTGACGATGATGAGGAAGAAGATCCAGGCAGACTTGGGGTTAAGAGGGTTTCTGCGAACCCTATGGGACCTCGTCTGGGGCCTAACGATGCCCGCAGGCCTTCAGTGACATCTTCGCGCACCTCTGTCTCAACCTCTCCCCCAAACTCTGTTGAGGCCTTTGCCGAGCCTCGTCGACGTGAACGGGCAAACACAATGGAGAGCCAAATGCCTGGAGAGCGTGAACTCCATCTTCATCGCACCATATCTGCTACTTCTCATCACCACAAAACAGCTTTCAGCAATGCCAGTGTGGCTCACCCTGGCAGCGTGGACGTTCGTGTCAACCCAACGGAGGAGGCAGACGTATGCTTCCCGCCTCCACCCTTCGAAGATACAGGTCGCTCGCCAATAATCGATTATGAAGAGCTTGAAGAGTTCGTTGCTCTTAGCAAGGCTAGGGCAGATAATATATCAGCACAAAATGGAGTTCAGCGCAAGCATAGCATCAGCGCCCAGAGCAGGCAAACTCTCAACTTCACGGGCATTCAAAAGGGAAACAGCAATGTCGATGTCCCCGAAATTGTGATGACTCCATGTGACATGGAGAAGCCAAATACTACTGTCCATCTACCCGTGGACAGTGCCAAGGATTCCGGCTCGGACGAACCTGAGGATGAAAAGACTGGTCTTGAGGCCATGAAGAATATCAATAGCCCACAGCGCTTCAGCTTCTTTTCCTCTGAGTTTGAAAGCACCGTCCATGCAGCTTCAATCGGAGACCTTGTACTTCCAGGAGACTCTTTCCGGGATCTCTTCCAGCTGGGCCCCGATGGAGGTGTCTGGTGGCTTGATGTCGTCAATCCAACTAGTGATGAGATGGGCGCTATGTCTCGCGCCTTTTCTATCCATCCTCTGACTGCAGAAGACATCATGACTCAGGAAGCCCGTGAAAAGGTCGAACTGTTCCGTCAATATTACTTTGTCTGTTTCCGCACTTTTTACCAGATGGATAAAATCAGTGAAGACTATCTAGAACCTGTCAATCTATACATGGTGGTGTTCCGGGAGGGTGTTATCTCTTTCAGCTTTACTGATAACCCACATGCGGCGAATGTGAGAAAGCGCATTGGCAAACTGCGTGAATATGTCTCTCTTAGCAGTGATTGGATTTGCTATGCCATGATGTAAGTTTCTGGTGATGTTCTTTGTTTATTACTTTTACCTAACTGCTGCGCAACAGTGACGATATTGTTGATAGCTTTGGCCCTGTCATTCGCGAAATCGAGGTTGAATCTGAAGCCATTGAAGACCATGTCTACGTTGCCCGAATCGAAGACTTCAACCTCTTCCTCCCGAAAATTGGCGGTCTACGCAAGAAAGTTATGAGTCTCATGCGCCTTCTAGGCGGTAAAGCCGACGTTATAAAGGGATTCGCCAAGCGTTGCAACGAGCAATACTCTGTCACACCTCGCGGCGATATCGGACTTTACCTTGGCGATATTCAAGACCACGTTGTTACCATGATGTCCAGTTTGGGCCACTTTGAAAAGATGCTCAGTCGTTCTCACGGAAACTACCTTGCTCAGGTCAACGTGACAAACATCATGGTGGGCAACAGGGTTAATGAGGTGCTTAGCAAGATTACCTTTCTGGCCAGTATCATCGTTCCAATGAACTTGATCTGTGGTCTTTTCGGCATGAACGTGCATGTTCCCGGTCAAGGCGGCGATGACCTGTTCTGGTTCTTCGGTATCGTCGGGGTCATTATCCTCATCTCCATAGTCAGCTTGATTTTTGCCCGTCGATACAAGCTGCTGTAAAGAAACCGCACTGCTCAGTGCCCACCGTTGTTGACTCTACGGCCTTTCTCTTCTTTTTCTTGACGGCCGCCTGGACGCACGCCAATACAGTATCAGTGGGCTTGCCTGCGAAACCAAAACATCAATAATGATTTCTACTAATGCTTTGGTCCAGTTCTGTCTTACGCTTCTGTTGTTGATACTTGCAGTTTCTTGTTGATATTTGGTTGTAATTGTTTTAATCTGGATTTTCGATAACTCATGGAGATTTGGCATATTGTTCAATCCTTTCTGGTACCCTAAAAGTCTTTATCGCTGTAATATTACCATTAATCCGTATATAATCCATGGCCCTTTTATGATTCTTTTGTCGGTTTTATTTTGATATCACAAGGTTATCAAGCTCCACAGCGGTGGGTTATTACATAATCCCGTAGTTCCTTGGAAGTTATGTATGTTAAGCCTTAACGGAATAGGACGTTGGACAGTTTACATCGATCTTGAACAAGGACAACGACCGGAGAGACGATGATATAATGAAAAACCATCAGGTGAATACCTTGCCCTTTTACTACTATCCATCCGTTCACACGAGCCTGGGTTATTCCGCAGCATCGATGATCAATTTCGCCATATCTTCACGGTAATAGGTGCCAATAAACGGTCAACCACGTTCAAAGGAACCACCGGCCCCTCTCCCCCCATTCATTTATCAAGCGATACATTCATACCGGCGCGCCGATGCCTTGGCCGAAGCTCACTCCTCTCCAATCCCGCTTTGCCGCCTCCCTCGCTGCCACCATCCTCCTTATAATACTCTACTTTGCCCTCTCCAACCCACATCTCGCCTACGCAACAAACGTTGATGCTCTGATATTAGAAAGACATGGTTCTCCAGATTTGACACTTATAGACACCCAGGAGCAGATTTCCGTACAGTGGAACCATGTTTCTATACAAGAAGAGAATAGGCTGGACAATGAGGATGGCGCAGATATTGAACGGAGGGCGGCTCCAGGAACAGAGGCCCTGGCAAACAATGTTGCTAAGTTGAAGAATATAAAGATTGGGGAAATACAGTATTGGGTATTCCCTAAGGAGGCAGTACATGGCCCCAGGTCCCCACCTACACCGGGCTTGCCGTCAGATATAAGCGTCATTCTGGATGGAGGCACGACAAATCCGGATAGCAACTCCGAAGACTCCAAGGACTCAGAAAATTCGAATAATGTATTCGAATCGGACGCCAGGGGCATAAAATTATCTCGTCGCTCTGTTTCCGTACATATCACTGCAAATACTTGTCTTCAGCCAGAGCTTAACGTTACCCGTGCCGCCAAAGACGCTGGACCGCCTCAACTGGAACTGTATGTGTCTACGAGCAAAACGTTCGATAGGCCCGGCCCACAGTACAAGGACAACTCTGCTATCACCCATAAACCCTTTGATGGAGGCTATGTTGCTGTAAATCCCGATACAGATGGAGATGTGTACATCGCCATTGCCGCTCCAAACAGCACCCGTTACTCAGGAATATATAATTATGAAATCGCAGCCTCGATTGACGCCCCGTTCCATGGTCTCGATAATAGCAGTTCTTTCCTCTATTTTGTGGACGGTGATAACAATGCGGCTCTTTTACAAACAAATGATACCACACGTGAACCACCAGAGTCGGAAATATATAAGAAGTGGCTGGCCCTTGATCCACCTCCTTTTACGTTATTTGCCCATAATATGAACGATTCGGCTATTTTGGGCCTTCAGCATTCATATTGTGGTCTGCAGAATAATGCACAAATAAGCAAGAAACAGAAAAGCCTAGATGTTGGCATGACTGCTCGTGGTATAGACCATAAACCCAAGCAACAGATTTATGCGAAGGGTCTCAACAGCAGCTCTGTTTACTATGGATTCTTGGCCATGGAGGGAAATTCAACTGCTTATGGTAACAAGGTTGTAGGGGGCGGAGGAAAAGTGTGGAAAGCAATGAATTTCACAACAAAAAGAGGTAAGCGAAAATCATACCCATCGATCTACCAAGCCAATACTGACTTATATGGAATTTTGAAAGAAAACAATTGCGCTATAATATATAATTTGAAATTCTGCTCCGAAGTTGCCTATGCAGTCCCATCCAGTCCGGAACTCAAGGTTTCTCAGCTTAGCGAGATTTATGACACACAAGCGGAGCAATTATACCAAAATTTCAGCTATTCGCTTCAGCAAGTATCCTGCAATGCTCCCGCAACAGAGCAGTACTCCCTTGCAACGAACTGCTCTCAGTGCGCAGGTGCCTATAAACAATGGCTTTGCGCAGTCACTATACCCAGATGTCAAGACTTTTCCAGTGACCTTCCATTCCTCCGCCCGAGAAATACTGGCCAACAATTTCTCAATGGCACCATGCTACCCGATGACTACTCAGGCCGCCTGAACGTTTTAACCAATTCTTCTCGAAACCCACTTATCGACATCAAAATTAAACCAGGGCCGTATAAGGAAGTCCTTCCTTGCCAGGATCTATGTCATTCATTAGTTCGAAGCTGCCCTGCGTCATTTGGATTCGGATGTCCCACAGGCCAGTGGCTAAACTATTCTTATGGGCAGCGAAGTGCCAACGGAGATATTACCTGCAGCTACCTCGGGGCCGCGTATTTTTTGAATTCGGGATGGAAGTCCGTGGACGGAATGAAGTCTATTTTTTCCTTTACGCTTGTGTTTTGGGGACTCGTCTGGGGATTTTCATTGGAACTGATCTGAAACAACCGACCAGAAGGAAAAGTGATCAGGTAACTAATCGCCACCCTCGTCTCAAAACAGTTCCAAGCGAAGTGAACGAGCATCTCCTATAAAAATGAAACGATTCGCTTTGACCTCAAAACCGGCGTCTGGTTTATATTCAAATCATGCACCGAAATAGATTAAGGGCGTATCCGGCAAGATAACTGCAGGTCAATGCTGATAACGGAGGAAAAGGCACGGAGCGGTTCAAGTACTGCCACGTTATGGCCCTCGTCATGAGAGAAACATACAGATCTCAAGAATTTGCAACACGCAGGATAGGGAATACCCAGTTTCATTTCTTTGTTCATCCGTTTATATGACCTTATTCCTGACGACAAGGCTATATAGTATATATTGTACATCGACTCCACGAGATCCAAGTATCTCAGCCATCTAAAAAAAAAAAAAAAGACAGATTCATGTCAGAGAAAAAATTCTCCGCACAGAGTCAGAGTCCGGGGCCGGGTTCTTTGCGAATATATATTTGAAAAGCTTTCTAGGAAGGCATGGGTTTTGAGTCTTTTGATGTAATATGGAAGCAAGGTGTCAGGCGTTCTGTTATACATTTAGTTGTCCAGTAGGATGATATTTTTCCAAGGCCATGACTCAATAACTTAGGCAATAGAAAGATTTAGTATTTAAAAGTAATCGTGTTCGCTAGCTCGTGAATTTATAGAGTGATCCTAATATTTACAAGGGGTTCGCTGTTGGGACCGGATGACCAGTCCATCACTACTTGGCTCTCCTAGGGGTTGGTGTCCACATATTCTTCCCACTCGTTGAACCCGACATCACAGCTCTTTTCGGAGTGGTATTACCTACCTGAGCCCAAAGCCTCTGGGCAGCAGGGGTAAGGGCCGCTCGGCTCATCGCTGGAGTTTTGGAAATCGACGATCTATCGCCCGATTTACCAAAGGCGATCATGGGGCTGCTTGGGAACATTGGAACAGGGGTCTTCGTCTCTTTGATCGCCTTCTCTCTTCTATTATTCTTCGCCACACGATCCACCATACGATGAAGCAGCAGTTCTCGTTTGCCATTTTCTTTGAGCTTGAACGGGTTTGGCGTCGAGTCAGACAACTGGCTCTCAAGGAGCTTGAGATGATATGCCTCTTCATTCTCGTCAGCTTGTGGCGCTGAGTGTGACTGAGGCTCAGGTTCATCTTCGTCAACAAACGCGTATCCGTTGACACGAGGAGTTTCACCGCCAGTATACCCCGGCTCCGAGTTGGTTGGTCGAAGCCTTCCAGCTATTGCGTCACGGACTGCAGATAAGGAAGGTGAAGGCGGGACAGTCGAGTGTTGTTCCCCATCACTGTTTTCAACTTGCGGCCTGATGCGGGTGTTGTAATAGAGGACTTGTTTCTCCCCCATTCGAGAAGTAGATTCTTGTTTCTGCTGAATTGTTTCCATGTCGTCTTCTACCGACGAAGGGATGAACATCAGGGAGTTCTCGGGTTTCGATTTCCATCCATCTGGTCTCGCTGGTCGGTCATCCGCTGTAGACTTGTTGTCTGATAATTTCATAAGTTGTTTCTCCTTGCTTCCGTCTGGTGCGGCCTGCGCTTCCAGTCTTTTAGCTTCCCGCTTTCTGTGCACTAGCTCTCTAGCAGAGGGTATCTTATTCTCGCGCCATAGCCATGCGTATTTCTCTCTCTTCTTTTCATTCTGTTTATCTAGTAGTTTGTTGAAAGATTCATTATCTTCGCTGGTGTACTTCTGTTGAAAGGCCCCTAGTCCCATATTTCGAATCTTGGATGAAATCCTGTGGCCGGCTGAGCTTGTTGCAACCGAGGCCATGCTACCGGGAGTCGCACACGACATCGGGGTATCTCCTTTCCAACCTCTCGGCGTATTCTTGTCCATAGCAGGAGTCCTATGTGGGGTATCCATATTTGACACGCTAGGAGCTCTTCCGCGCCGCGGTGTCATGGATGTCCCGGCATATCTTCTTTGCGAACCTGGCGTCATTAACTGCGCCATCTTCCTTCCTGCTGTGGCAATCCATTCTTTATCCTTGGACTCAAGCGCATCGAGGTAATCTTGCTGAGCTTGGGTTTCGAGCAGCCCAGGGAAGAAGTCTCGGGCGACAATATGGGAAAGGGCATCAGTATAGTCATCTTCGTCCAGGGCTACAGGCGGTCGTTTTATTCGTTTGGCAGGTGGAGGAGGCGGCATAAGCTGAGTATCGGACGACCGTTTCGCAACTGCTTGTGACGAGGGAGAAGCCATGGCTGCGGCTAATATCTTCAAAGTGCTGTCACAAGCCGTCGGTTACTTGCATCGATGTCATCAAAGTAATTTGCAGTGAGCTTAACTCCATGCATGAAAGCTTCATGAAAGAACTCGTTTACCCTATGACGGCGTTATCCTTTGGGGTATCACGTGGACACGGAGAATAGTATATGCGAGTAGTTAGTTTAAAGTTATTAGTCATATTTTAGAGTTCCTTTTTAAGCTTTAAAGTTGTGCACAAAAAATAAAATTATGACTTCGGTAGAGTTTGTTTTGTTTTGTCCAACCTCTGTGTTGTTCTCCATCCTAGTCTGTATGATATACTTAGAGGTAGTTGGAAGTAGGCATTATCCGGCCGAAAAAAACATAGAAGTAAAGAGTATAATACGAATAAATTAATCAATTAGCGAAAGAGAGACGGACTCCAAATAATAGCTCGCAATAATTCCACCACACCGTTCACACCGACGGCCATGCGAATGCTCACACCCTTAGATGCCAGCCGAAAAATAACCCCATTCCCCAAAACCATATAACAGTGAAAAGAATTAACAAACGATGGGCTGAGACAAATCAAAACAGGAGATGAAAGGCGAATTTTTGCACACCGTCCGAAGTCTATTATAGATCCCCCCAATAACGAAAGCAAGGAAAGCAGCAGCAGAAGACAAAAATTGGAGTGTTGCAAGATGCTCGATGAAAAAGAAAATTTGATACAAATAAAATATTTTGCTCGTATGCTCAACGGGTAAGAGAATGGTGGTGTAACAGGTAAACGGAATCATGTAAAGCACCAGCCCATTGGACCGGAAGGGGATAATTAGAATGTAAATCATGTGCCTGCAAGACTTCGTTATAGGTGAAAAAAAAAAAGAAAAAAAGGGTTGTATATAAGGAATTTGGTAGAAGAGATGTGCTACCAGCACGTAAATGCATGATCATAAAGGTCGTTGAAGAGATCAAGGAAAGAGATATAAGAAATGGACGTTCGATAACGAAAGGTGGGGGTTAAATGGGGTATAGAAGAGGATGTACATTTTAAGTACGAGGTGCTCAGCTAACTTTGGGGGAAGTAGCTGGCCCGGTAACAGGAAAGAGCGAGTATGAGGGTCGGTTCTTGCGAACGCCACGGCTCAAAGTTGAAGCGCGTTTCCGGTTCACCTGGCTAGTTCTGACGAGCGAACAGTCGGCAGAGTCGAGTACAGATGCAGACTTAGAGCGGTCATGCATCGAGACGGAAGGGTTGGAGGCAGATTCGATGCCCGAGAAAGAAGCGAATGGCATCCTGGGCATTCCTTCGCGGCCAATTGGAAGGGGTCGAGAATAGGTAGGCAGTGCCGGTCTCTCAGCCAGTGGGCTAGTTGGGGCCTCACGATCGACCATCTCGCGACTGCAGTTGGGGCTGTGGATAAGGTCTGGAACGCTGTTGGTTGAGGTGGAAGAGCGGTGTTTCCGGACGATGGAGGCAGCGCGAGACAATATCATGCTCTCTTGGGAATTGCACTTGCTAAGAGGAGAGGAACCGGTGCGAGTGTACGCTGGCTCGTCGATGTGATACTCGTCGTCTTCGTTGATATCAGATATCACGTGACTATAAAGAGAGTCATGTGACACATCCTCGAAATGAGTCTCCAAAACTTGAATGTCGGTCGTCCTGGGCTTCTTGTCCATCGACTCAGCGGTGGACGGAAACGTTCCGAAGGAGTGATTAAAAATAGCTGGGCTGGCAGCATCACTTTCAGCTCTTGTTGAAGCCGAGGTTCCGGACGATGGCTGCAGCTCTGGCGTGGTCTGGCCTGGCGTGGTTGTGTCCAAGGGGTGGAGATAAAACGAACTGGTGTTGGGCTTGAAACAACCTGAGGTTTCGCTCTTTCCGAGATGCGAGCATTCCCGGTCTCGACTCTCCTCAGCCGATTTACGGTTCCAATCGAAATTCGAGTTCGATTCGGCAGCATGCTCATAGCAGTAGTCGATATCGGCTTCCCAGGAATCGTTAGAGGCATGCATCCCAACAGTTCCAGCGGGACTCTTTGGTTCAACAGGTGGTAATAGCTTGCGTGGTTGCTCGGATGGAAGGATGGGAGAATGCAAATCTTCGTATTCAAATCGGGTTTCTTTGAGTGGGCTCAGGTGTAGAGCTGGTTTCTTGAGCTCAGAGGGTATCTCGACAAGCTCAGGTTCCATATGCGCGTTATATGGAGCTGGGTCGAAAGCTATGACATGGTTGCTCTGTGGTTCATCACGTTCGTTGACTCCACTGGGCTGGACGAGCGGAGAGAGGTTGGTGGAGGGAGCGTTATTTTCGTCAGGGCTAAATGCACGTCCTATCTCTTCGATCGGTTCTGCGACAGGGCCTTGCTCCGGCGGCGACACAGCATATCCAACGACAGCGTTAATCGGTCCATCCTCCACTGGAGATAAGGACAGCCCATTCAGCCCCATAAGCTCCTCCGACGGGTCGATTCTTTGACCGCCAGATTTGGGACTCATTGCCATCCTTGACGATCTCCTAGGCGGTGGAATCATGGGAGGTGAGAATGGCTGTCGTACAATTCTGGAAACCGGTCGAGAGAAATTTTCGACTGAGCGAGGTGCTCTCAACTGTCGGAGTTCGGGCGAGGTGACTGTCGTCATCGTGGCTCTCGGCGATCTGGGGGGACTGCGAGTAAAGAGAGATGGAGCATCGGGAGCGAGGGTGTCAAGAGTCCAGTCTGACTCCTCCTCGGCTGTGTATGGTCGATATGAGAGGTTCTGAGCATGTATGCCCTTAAGCTCAGAATTTGGTCGTTGAGAGGCGCGGATGATGGAGAATTCGGTAGCGAGATCATGAGGATGAGTGTGAGCAATTGGTGGTAACTGGCCGCGGCTAGTGTGAGTAATGTGTTGGAAGTGAAAGGGCTCCGAGATGCTGCTTTTGAGTTTGGTATCTGTACGATGATTATATGTTAACAACAGAGAGAGACAAAGGCAGAAGGTAAGGAGAGGCTTTTCTGTGTTCTCTTTTCACAAAGGGTGTGTTAACATACGGCTGGAATGATTCCTCTGTCGATTGATACGACGAAGAACAGCAGGTTTCTCGCGCCGCGGCTTCACCTTCTCACCGTACCAGACCTGATCGCTAGACATTTCTTCCTCCTCGTCCAAAGTGAGAGTGTCCAAGAGGCTAAACTTGCTTCCCTGGCGTCTGAGAATGCGATTACCGCGGGAGAAGAAAGATTTGCTCGAGCTCTCTTCTTTTTCTAGCGGCAGGACGAAATCAAAGACCCCCTTGCTGCCGTCGTGAGAGGATCGTTTCGACGATGTCATAGACGAGGCAGGGGATAGATTGGAGGAATTGGCAGTGTCACTTCGAGAGCGCTGGCCAAGTACTGACAGACGCTTGGGAGTCTGGGTTCCAGTGTTGTTTCGAGACCTTGAAGGGCTGCCCGATCGACTTCGTGAGGCTCCTGATATAAATGGTAGCTCTCGCAAGATCTGATCATGATACCATTGGGACGTCGAGGGGCGAGACGAGGGCTGGGATGGAGAGAGAATGGGGGGAGAGGGCGAGGATGTATATTGTTCCAAAAAAGTCATGGTGACTTTCCTCGGTCCACACAGATGAAGGAAAAAGGCAATGGGGATATTCTTATTAGGTTAGACTCCCAGGGAGGGCGTGTGGACGACGATATAACGGAGACGGGGGGGAGAGGGAGAAGGGCCAAAAAAGGGTGGGCTTGCGTCCTATCCTCCTGTCGCTTCTCTCCACATTCGCCCACGCGAAGGACCAGGGGTCGGTCAGGACGAGTATGGGAAAAATGAAAGAAAAAAAAAAAAAGAAAAAGAAAAAGAAAATAGCAGCAATTGAAAATAAATTGGATGGTGTTGGAGGGATTGACCCCGTTGGGGGGAATTCCTTGTGCGGTATAATGCTTGCTCGCCTTGCCTGGGCAGGGCCGGGATTATGCCTCAGGGGAGCCAGGCTAGCAAGCCACCATGGAAAGGAGCCGACAAAGAGCAATGGCCGAGCAGCAATCGAATTGAAACACAATCGAGGACGTGAGTGTCGGTTCCTGAGGCCGTGGTCAAGAAGGCACGGACACAGTCAAATTCTAGCAGCGGTAGCCTGGGACGAAAAGAAGCCAGCGTCTCAGGTCGGAAGTTGCCGTATATATATCGGGCGTGTATGTATATATGTATGTATATATATATAAGTTTTGCGAGCGAGGAGTGTGAGATATAATATATGAGCTCTGGAGAGACGCAAACAACCAGTGTATGAGCAAGCGACCCAAAAGTAGGCTCTCTGTGAGAAGTTAAATAGAGACCGACGAGCCAACCCTCGACAGGGAAGTTATCGTTGGGAAAAGGACCGGGAAAAAAAAAAGGAATAAAATAAGACGATGAAGAATTGAATAGACGGTTAGATATTTAGGCGGTGGCTCCTTGATATCAGGCTGGTGGGATGGGACAGAATATCAATATCCCTGACGCAGGGCCACGAGCAAGATATGTATGTATGAATATCAAAAAGCAGGCCGGACCGGGAACAGAGCAGGACAGGTTAGAAGTTAGAAGTATAGACAGAAGCAGAAGAAGAAGAAGAGAAGAAAAGAGAAGCCGAGGTGATCTAGTGTGAAAGAAGGGAGAGGAGAGATAGAGAGCAGTTAAAGAAAAGAGAGAGACTCGAAAAAAAACGTACTTCTTCCTCACCCCGGTTGCGGCGGGAAACGCCCATGAATAAGTAGAAAAGCCCCGAGCAGCAAGACCCAGAGATTAGGGAGGACCTGACAGACCGAAGCTCAAGGCGTATGCAGAATGGAGCCCTCTCTCGTCCTCTCCCCGTTCTAGTCGTGTTTAGTACTGTCCACTGGCTTTTGGGGCGGAGTTATCAGGACAGAGCAGATCCCACCTGCAGGAACGGGAACCATGGGAGGGCCTCTTCTTCCCACTGTAAAGTTGAGCGTTGCTTTTTTTCTTCTTCCTTTTTGCTTCTTCCTCTTCGTCTGGCTTCTTTGCTTTTTTGCCTTTTGGACAGAGTAACAAGCTCAGCGCTTCTTTTCTTTTCTTTTTTTATATATAATATACCCTCTTTTTTCCTTTCCCGTTTTGCTTTTTTGCGTACGGAGCATAAGTAACTCTCCCAGGTACCACGGCAAGGGGTCGAGCGGCCGGAGCGAACAGAGAAAATATTTTCTCATTGGCCGTGGACGGTACCCGGTTAATCCTCCGTTATGGTGTTATGGTGATATATTATCCTGTCCCGAGTTTTTTATATACACACTAGCAGGAGCCGTTTCCAAGGTCCATATCTTTGTGATGGTTGATGATCTTGGTGTTAAATTATCTTGTTGTTATTTTAATATCATTCTTTTCTTCTGCTGGTGGTGCTGATGCTGCTGATGCTGATGCAGTTTTCCTGCGAATGGTAAGAAAAAAACGCCCTGTCAAGGGTCGTGTATCTGTATATTCCCACCGTCTGACTGCCTTGATGTGGAGAGAGGGAGCTCAGCATGTGCTGATCGTTCTTGTCCGTACGATCTCAGTCGTGTTCTCATCTGGTCGTCCCTTGCAGCTGAGGCAAATTTGCCTGCTTGTCCTTCCTCCTTCTCCTATCTGTATCTGAGGGAAAAGCAGGAGAGAGTAAAAAAAGACATCTGAAACGCCGTCTTCGTTTTATTTTTGTCTTTTTTCTGACCCCTTGCCAGTCGTTATTTTTTATTATTTGTTTCCTTACTTTCCTTTCTTTTTTCCCTCGCCGACTTCACTGTACGTAAGTATATCTTGTATAAATGTGTAAGTGTAAAGTGTAGGTGTACGTGCCAGCCGTTTCATCGAGTGAAAGTCAACCACTCCAACGGCAGAGAAGTCAAAAGGAGGCGTCGTATAAGTCGAATAAATCCGCCAATCAGGTTGGCCTCGACCTTCCGCTTCTTCTCTCCCATTTGTGCGATGGATGCAGGCAGGCAGGCGGGCGGGCAGGCAGGACAGCAAGATGCAGCGAATGCACGAAAGACGCAGCGTTACTGCAGATGGCTCGACGCCGGGCCAAAGGGGGACAGCTCGTCGTGGCCTCCCTCCCCGCCTAACGCCCGCCAGCAACCCAGAGATCGAGGCAGCGAGATGGGCCATCTGCGTCTCTCGCCAGTCGCTTGTCTCCTCCAGCTCCGCCGGTTCTGTTTGTGCGCTCTCACCATCCTCTGGCGGGCGTGGAAAAGGGGGGTCCCTGTGCCTATAGACTTCGAACCAGAAACAACGGCGCAACAGCGGTCTCCATCGTCCTATGCCGGTAGCAGCAAAGTGTCCGACTGCCAGGCAGCGTCATTGGCGCGTTCTGGGGGGCGCGAGCATCCAACACGCCGGGATTGTCTGCCGTCTCGTCTGCTTTTTGCTCTCAGGGGGGCATATCGCGGGCATCGCTGCTAGCTCGGGCTCTGGGCTCACGTCTCTAGGTTCACGTCTCTCTCCGCGCCTTTCAGAATCTGTCTCGTCTGGACCGCGGGCGAAGAAGCAAAAGCAGGTGGAACTCGGCTGTCGTCTCTACTGCTGACACGGCCGGCAGAGTGAATGTGAATATGCGAGAATGTGAAGGCCGCGAGGGGGATGTGGATGTGGATGTGACTGTGATTAACTGCCGAGTGTCCCTCGATCGCCATATAGACCAACCACCGCTATAGCTTCTCGCCCGATGGCGTCGCGCAAACGCAGCCATCAATCACCATCGACAGCGACGAGGACGAGGGGGGACGACGACGATGCTAGCTGCTGCTGCTGCTGCTGCTGCTGCATGCTGTATGTATGTCTTGTGCCGTGCCTAAACGCCTTCGACTGGCATTCGACCGGCCTTCTGCTTCTTCTTCTGCCTGTCAACTCTAGGCAGACTCTAGCTGCACGCCACCGTCACGGCGCGGGATGCCTGCCTGCTGCCTGTGACCGTTCCAGCGTCCTGCTCGAACGTCGACGGCGCCTGTTGCTATCTACGGAGCTGCTCTGCGGAGTCCTGGAGCACGCCAACAGCTGGTTATGGCACGCTGAGTCGCACGTCTGGCTGCCGGCTTGAGCAACCATACTTAGCTATCTACGGAGTACCGCGATGGAGACCGGGTTAGCTTGCCGAAGAGGGTTATCTACGAGCCATCTACATATACACTCAAGATGATGCCATATCGACGGCGGCGTCTTGAGATGGAGAACCAGCAGAGCCCGTCTCCTATTAGCGTCCTCCCTTTGCTGCGGAGAATAAACGGCGGGTGTCTGGGGACTGCCCTTGATACCGACTCCTCCGTGGCCAGGTCAGGTCAGCATCCATGAAACGAGAGGAAGAGACAAGAAAACATGGCTTGAGCAGGCCGGCGCTCTTCTTCTTCTTCTTCTTCTTCTTTTTTTTTTTTTTTTTTTTGCGAAAGCCAGGCCAGGATTATACTGAAGTATACTTACAACGCAAAGCATAAAAGCCGCCCTGCTAATAGTACGCTGCCACTCTAGCTCGGACTCGATTCAAACAACGCTCGAGCAGGCCGTCTCTGCCATGTTGGCTGGCGGGCTAGCTCTCCCCAGATAACCCAGTGTAGGCCGGCCGATTAGCTACAGGGATGCTCGTTTTAGTAGCAGAGGTTGGCGTCATGTTAAGAGCAGCGTTATACATCCACCCTGCTCCTCCATCGACCACCTTTTTTGAGTCCCGGCGATCGCTGTTGTCTCTGCTCGGATTTGATGTCATGATTCCTATTACGTTTCTTCGCCTGTCGATCCAGGCTAACCGTCAACCAGACTTATATTACAACTCTTTTTATACATATGATTTCTCCAAGCGTGGTTGACAGTCACCCTAAACTCTGTACGCTCTTGCGATCCATGGTTGACTAACATGCATCTCCTACTGCCTTCTACCGAAGATCATCTCTGGGACGGAGACCTGGAGGCGCAACTTTCGACTCGGTAGTGGCAAACCTTCACCTTCCTCAGAGCCACTCGAGGTAAAGAAAGAAAAAGAAGAAAAAGAAGACACACACATGGGCTGACCCCCTTTTTCGCTTTTTCTTCTTGACAGGACAGAGATGGAAGTGGTTGAATGGTGGGATCGGCAAATGGCTTGCAGTCCTCGCGCGTATTCCGTGCTACCACGAACCTCTCTCTCCACGCAGGGATGTTCCATCTGGGGGGGAGGAGGAGGAGGGATGATGATGACCCCCCCTCCCTTCCCCTCAAAAGTAAGGACTTATGGAGCAAGGAGTGTAATAATGGCATACTAGAGCAGACAGAGTGTGAGGGTGCCCGGTCCACTACTTCGGCACCCTGTCTCCATAAGTTCTCTCTTGGGGCGGAGAAGGGAAGCTACTCGATACTCCATACATGTGATAGTATGCGAATCATAGCATCGATCATTAATGCCAACGTCAAGCCGCATTGCTCAGCCGACGGAAAGGGTAAAGGGCACATGGGAAGCATGCGGAAAAAGAGAGATGAGCTGAATAAAAAGGCAAACGAGACACATGTCATTTTCGTGCCCGACCATGAGGTCCTGATGTCTTCCTGACCGTTGACCTATTCAAAGCCACGTTAAGCCACGGCCTGCAAACAGCAAGCAGATCTCCATCCAGGCTTCGGAACACCAGTGCTGGTATCCGATATGGTCTACATCACAATCACTCATAAATTCCGCGTTTCTCGCCCACTAGTAAGGCGGAATCCTGCAGCCCGTCCATTGTCCAGTGATATGGCTCGATATACGCTGTATAAAAAGGAACTACTTCGAGAACTGCAGCCAGCCTTTCAGGTCAAAGCACAAAAACAACCACGGCCACTCAGGCTCAGCAAACGCTACACGAGCAGTTAGGAATGAAGAAAATAAGAATGAAAAAGAAGACGGGGGAAAAAAAAGAATATCTCGAAACATAAAACTTGAGTTCCCATATCTAATGGATAAGGCAGAGTCGCTGCACACTTTCGTCCCCAACGGCCGACCCAGGCGACCGCTTTCAACCTGTCCGGGTCTACACGTGTGACGGGATGCTATCAGTGGCCCGGAGAGCCTTGCGCTCGTTCTCTCCCTTAGTCCCGGCTGCTTTTTCCTGGGTGAGCCCCATAGCTTGCGACCTATTATTGCGTAAGTATCCCCATGTGCGCGCTGGAGAAAAGAGCGGCGAGACGGCAGGCTGGCTAAGCATCAGGTTCACGCCTTGCCTGGCTCCAGCGGCTATCACGCCTGCATGAACAGTACCCTGTTTGAGGCTGGTTGTAGCACGTTTGTTTCAAGTAGAGTTATATACTTAAAACTGAATATGGGGGGGCCATTGTATACTTAGCTGTCTCCTCAGCTCGGCCCTCTCGCCGAACTGGAAGGCCAGGTGGATGTGTGGATTCTTTCTCTCTCGCTCGCCCCGAGTCCTGCAGGCATCTTACTCCGTAAGTACTCTCCATCTATCGCGCTCTGGTTAACCAGAGTAGGGTATCACAGACGACGCCCTGTTGACGACGATGATACACCCTGGGTCCGCTCTCTACATGTTACATTCGGATTTTTCTACGGAGTAACTATCTGATCAGCCGGGCTGACGAAGTGCGTATGTCTGCAAGGAGGAAGAAAGGAAAAGGCATTGTTTGCCTTGCAGAAGATCAGCAAACGGCCTCATCAAATCAATTGATGCGAAAAAGGCTGGAAAATCCGTCTGACGTCCTGCTCTCCTAAACAGGAGAATGCTGGCCCTGTCCAACTACACAGGAAGAAAACAGGTACTCCGTAGCCTAGGCCCTTCTCTCCCGCTCCCCTTCTGTGCTCCAACCTTCTTGCGTCCTTCTTAGCGGTATATAGTCAGACGGGTAAGGCACAACAATTGTATCCGCCCGGCAGGCCTTGATATCGATGCCCATGGGCGGCCGCAGCGGTCGGTCTCCTGCAGCGGTCTCTTGCCGCCAGGGTCCTCCGGCGGGGGGAAACGTGTATGCCATGCTCTCAGTATGTGAACCCGACCGCCAAGGGCACGTTGCTTCTTGTCGGATATGCACAGCAAGACATAGGAAATCCTCCGTATACATATATCTGTTCACTCCTTCGGGGGAAGCCATGACACATATTCTCTATCCGGATATTCAAAGGATGTAGGCTTGCGCTTATGCAAGATGTAGTCCGTCGACGGGCCATCACGAACTTCACGAGTGACCCGGAAAGGTATGCCAGCTTCTCCTTCTCTTTCACCCTTTCTTCCATGTAAAGGTTCCTAGTATTCCATCAATGAGATTCCATCAATTGGCTTCGTATCTTCCTGCTGCATGAAGATCGAGTAAGAAGCCCAGGGACTCCCCGCGTCGACGGCTCTTGGCCTCCCATATCAATCAATCCTGTGCTGTGTTATTATACCACCATGACACATATCAATGGAGCACGTCAGCATGCGTAGTACTCCGAGTACACAGGGCCCAGGAATGCAAGGACAAGCTGGCAATTGGCACCATAACTATATCCACCGAGCCGCCCAGTTGGGCACAGATTGACCCTTCGACACCTGCTAGCGAGCTATCGGCTATATTAGAATGATCCAGAAGAAGGGGAAAAAAATTCATCGAATCAGAACTGCATGAGAAGCTGTTCGCGAGGCCACAGAATGCAGGTGAATTCCCTATCTCCTTTAGGCTATACACTCGGGACTTTTGCCAGGAGGAGTAGGTATTGGTATTTGAACCGCGCCTTAATCCCTGCGCTTATCCACCCATCCTCCGGACAGGGCTCTTCAGCCTATGGATACCCGGTCGAGCAAGGAACATATGCATGAATTAGGACCCTGCCCATGGTACAATCACCCACATATACAATGATCACGCCCAAGAATCCAAGACACAGGGATATATTCACACACCCACTCACTCTCTCTCTCTCTCTCTCGTGAAGTCAGCAAAGCAAGATCCTTACGATTGTTCCAGATGATGCAGACACGACCCCGAGCCGAAGCTACAAAAAAGGTGTCTTCCAATGCCATGACATCTTGTGCATATTTTGTCGCACACCAGCTTTGCAGAGACGGTGCTTATTATTAGCACAATTTACAATCTTAGCCTGACATGCGTCCGAGATGTCTCTCCCTCCAGGCGGGCGGGATCTAGACAAGGGCTGATTTCAACAGCACATGAGGACCTTGTCATTAGCAGACGGGTGCTGTTTCCACCAACATGTCAACCCCCACCCCCCGCCAACTCCTCGTCGGCTATAGCCTATCACCATGGAGGGAAATCCAGAAAGGAAGGAGAGGAAAGACCGGACTGGCTGATCTCTCTGAAATACGAGCCTTAAACCGCCTATACTTTGGGTGTCCTCGTCCCCGCGAACGAGCTATAGGTATGCAAGGAACAAGTGTATGGAAGGGCCATCTTCGGTCTTGAGCGGTACAGGGTTCGAGCTCCGTATGCCCGAAGCAGCCTTCCTTGCGCGGGTCGTCTTCTTTTCTCTCTTCCTTCCCTCTCTTCTTGATGCAATTGAGAGAGACGTCCACAACATCCACGTCCTGGTCCGCCCTTGTCAGGGAAAATGCACGCGTATGGGGAACCTCGGAATAAGAACCCTAACCGTATTTCCTCATGGTAAGTAAAAAACAAAACAATAATTAATATATATTGTTCATGGGAAAAGAAGCATAAAAAATGTTAAAGTTATCGGCAAAATAGGCTTATGCTTCTATTTTTAAGCATTTTCAGCCTTGATATATTTGCTTTCTGTACACTTCAACGCCCACTCTGGTGATTTCTTGGGTGGGCTTCCTCGGATCGGGCTGTCAATTATGGCAGTAATCATGGCGTCTGCTGGTGCGTGCCTTGAAGCTAGGGTGTCATGCAGGAGAGAGCGCTGCATATGCTGCGTATTCCTGTTTTAAGTCTCATCTCTTCCAGAAAGACGGTGCGGTTGAGAATGTTTATCTCGCTCAGCTTGCCATGCATCTATTTGCTGTAAGCAGCATTATTCCATCGAAATATAGACATGGGGTGGCCCTCTCCCTGTAACTCCTATCGAAGGAAGAAAGTCTTGTTGATCTGGTGAAGTCTTCGAAGGAGGGGGCCGATTCAATTCTCCAGCCTTTATCCAACCTCATCCTCTTCATCCTTCAAGAAGGGAATTGGCATCTTTCGGCAGGTAGATTCGACTTCGACTCCCTGGTCTCTCTGTCTTGGCTGAATAGAAAAGGCACCGGCTGTTCCCTGATGTGTAACAACCAATTGCTTTTCTACCCTTGGCTCATGTCTGTCGTCCCATCCACTCAGGTCTATGTAAGTCTATGCAGAATGCCCCTCTATCCACTCTGGCCTGATTGCCCGTCCAATATGCAATTTAAACCATCTGATAAGGACGAGGATTGAAAGTTGGAAGACCATCACTATACGGTCTGACGTACCTTTTTCCTTTTCTGCATGAAGCTAAACGTCCCTCAACCTTGGTTTTGATTTTTCAATTGAAAAGGAAACAGAAAAAAAAAAAAAAGAAGAAGAAGAATGGCATAATAGAAGCCACCAAATTGGCTTGACCTGGAGTAACTGTGGGCATGACTGATATTGAATCATGACTCGGTCGAAACGCCAATTAATAATCCGTCCGATCTTCCCAAAGTCGAAGTTGAGGTCGAAGTCGAGGGATGCTAGTCGGCAGTTTTGACCGCTTTTCTTTTTTGCGTCTTTCTTTCTTTTACCCCCTTCAGGCACCGCGGGGGGAAGCGGAAGCACATTCCAGCTGGCCCTGGTGGCTGAAGATTAGCTAGCTAGCTAACCGACTATGGTTGAGATATTGACGTTGTCGAAGCTCTCGTTATTTCCTTTTGGGCCCTTCCAGTTTGCTCCGTGTCTATATTTAAATATACACTGCTTTTCGTTTGCAAGAAGGCAGGGGAAAGCGGTCCCGAAGCAAAGGGCGAAAAGGATAATAGAAAAAATATTTTAAATCAGCCGTACCTGCAGCCGGGAGCGAGTGTTAAAGTTGATCAGATCGTATCTGAGTATACTGGCACATGAAGCACGGAGTGTTTCTTTTGCAGACCCTCCTTTCTTTATTGATGATGCCTGATATTAACGGTAAACTCCATTCCGAGGTTTCGTGGCAGCTTGCTGACAGCTTCCTGTAGACCCGAGACAATATACGCTCAATCAAATTGGATTAATCCATTAACAAGACGTCAAGGAAAACCTCGGGTGGAAAACAATGGCTTGCTTCATATTTCTAGCGATATCAATGCCTTATTCCAGCAACCGAGGGCTCAGCCCACCAGGAGACGTGTCACCAACGGACGTTGACTTCGGCTCTCTTTCTCTCTGTCTCTGCTGACAAGCGAGAGGGCAAACAATCAAGATAGGCTGATGGGAACGCACCAATTGCTTTCGAAGTTGGTTGTCATCTGGTGGGTTGGCCTCTTTTTGTTAAGGCCTCTTTTTATGGGCCATGTGTGGCAGCAATGGGCCATATATCCCCTATTCGACATGCGTTCGAGCAGATATCAGCGTCCATCCGAGGGCAGCAGCAGGTCTAGGTACGTAGTAGCACCGTAGCATAGCAACCTCGCAGCAGGAGTCCCTCGTTCTTCCTTTCATCCGTCGTCCGGTGTCCTCTAGTTATGGGACAGCAGCGCGCCCTCCAGGAGCTGGCCCTGTCTCTGGCCGTCCGCGTATGCCCCAAGCATGCTGTATATCTGTAGAGGCTCTTCCCACGTCATTCAACATATATAGGCCCTGTATCGATGCCTGTATCTGCTCTGATATCGCGGTATCTCGCTGACATCCTGGCCGTCCCGCGTCTCGGTCGACTCCACCGCGCTTGAGGATCCCCCCATATGCGCCAGCTTCACCTTGATTTCGCGGTTGGCAGATCCTCCGTGCGAGATTCAGCATCGTCAACACTCGTTGAGCTGCTCCATCGCCTGCTGCCGGCTGCGGTTTGCCGTCGCTTCTTCTCGTCTGCGTTCTCAGCCTGGCCGGCGAAGCCTTGAAGGGAGTGGCAAGGCTGGATGGCTGACTGGCTGCGAGCGAGCTAGCTAGTTAAATAGTTAACTACAACGGCCCCCTCCCCGGCGCGCGTCTCTTCCCCTGCGATGACTGCAGCTTGTCCCATCCCTATCCATGACCCTTGTCGCACCGCGCATGCCATGTTGTAGTACCTCGAATCGTACGCTATATACTCCTTCGATCTGTGATAGTCAATAGCCGGGCTGCGAAGAGCCACTGAGGCGCACGATGAATCCGCCGCGGAAGCGTCCGTGGTCTGTGGCCGAGCTCTCCTCCAACCCGTCGAACCCACCGCCACTTGAAGCGCTGCATTCTGCGCCAAATGGCTCCAGCGCCAGTGATACAGCCATGTATAGATCTCCAGACAGCTTGTCGAAGACCCCCAATACCCCTCCGGTTTCGTTTGGCATAGCTCCTCCAGAGTCGCCCCAGATCAGCGTTGCGGTGACGAGCCGCAAGTCGACAGCATGTCCGGCCTGCAGGAAACAAAAGGTATGGAAAGGTTTCTGCTACTGAGTATCTCCATAGGACACTGCTGATATACATTTGACAGACCAAATGTGTCATGGATGATGACACTCCACCGTGTAAACGCTGTGCGGAGCGAGGTCTGGAGTGTTCACCAAACAAGTCTATTCAGGATATTGTGGTGGAACAGGCTAGGTATGATATATATATATATATACACACCGGCATTATATCTATATATACAGAGCTGCACCCTCTAATGTATGCACTTCTACAGGTGGAATTCTCGGATGAATCGTTATTTCTCGCACCTTCAAACAGCTCTAAATGAGGCCAGGGCAGCATTATCACTGCCTCCCGTATCTGCAGTGGACGAGTTGGGCATGAAAGAGGAAGATGGCAAAACCTCCCAGCGTGAACAGGCTGACGAACAGCCCAATACGCTGGAGGTTGGCATGGAGCATGATACACTCGCCTCCGCCCCAATGCGGTCTCTCTATGAGGTCACCAAGTCCAGCGAGATGCACGAAAAGACCACCCAATTCTCAGGCTTGGTCATGGAGCCAGACTTTGTCTCTCGGGGAGTAATTACGGAAGCAGAAGCAGGCCAGCTTACCAAAACATACCTGACCCGATTGGACCACTTCTTTTACGACCACCTACAAAAATACGCAGACATTAGCGAGGTACGCAAGACATCTACGCTACTTGCATTAACTCTATGCACCGTAGCAGCGCTGCATGACCCGCTAGGTACAGATGCCTATGATAAGCTGAGCAGAGAGCTCCGCAGCGTAACATCGTCACTCATGTTTCGTACTCATTTGGGAGTAGAGGATATCAAAGCCTTATGTATGGGCTCGTACTGGCTGGGGAATCTGACTTGGGTTCTGTCTGGTCTCGTCCTGAGAAAAGCAATTGGGATGCAGTACCATACGGCGCATATGAATCAGCCCCAGACCGATAAAGAAGGGTTTGGCAAGTCACAGATGTGGCTATTGATATTCTTAGCCAATGAGCAAATATCGATACTCCATGGCTCTCCAGCCTGTGGTGTGGAACCTGGATATATCAACTGGAAGAACCACCTGGCCTCTCCCTTTTCAGGGGAGATTGATCTGAGATTAATCAGTCATATTGACCTCCTCTTGCTTTTGGGAAAGGTACGGCAGACGTATGGGGTGGATGCAATGAAACCTATACCCCTATCACTTATCCCACAACTTCGAGATTATCTTGCACAACTAGACAGATGGTCTCAAGCATGGACAGGAAGACTAGCAAGGAACAAATGGCTTGGAAACTTCCCATCTCAGGCTGTTAAACTGCATTTCCGATTTGCCAAGTTCTTTATATGCTCCCATGCATTCCGAGGGTTAAACGTGGAAGCTGCCCACGTACCACTCGCTCCAGAGTTGCAGGACATTGCAGCCAGTGCAGTTGCAACAGCAATTTCCATTCTCGAACTACTTATCGAATCTGACGAGCTACGTGCGTACCTTGTTGGAATCCCTCATTATTTCCACACCATGTTCGCATTTGCAGCTGTCTTTCTTCTCAAGGTTGCTACGCGTAATAGACAGCATGTGCATGTTGATACACAGCTGGTGTTTCGGATTAGTCGACACGTCCTGGAAGTGTTTCAACACTGCCCTTGCGCTAAACAGCATCTTGTGCACCGCATTGCTCAGGGGCTTCAGGAGATGATTGAGCGTTGTGAAGGTCAGATCGCAACTGAACGCTCCGGCCACCCTGTAAACCGAGTTCTAAACCGGGAGCCACCTATCTCGGCCTCCATGCCTCCTCCACCCACAACCTCAAACCCCGAGATTGGATCCCAGGATATGCTATCGTGGTTTAACCTGGAGAACTTTGACTTCCTTTCTATGTCACCTCCTACCTGGAACACCGAGTTTTAGTATCAAAACCGGCGGCACGCTCAGACATCACATTTTGAACGAGCCCCTGGTGTTTAGAAACTGTCTCGACGCACCGTTGGTTGCTTGTTGTATATTATGGACGAGACTATGTACATTTGCATTTTTTTTCGTTTGTATCCTGATATTTATTCCCTTTCTAGATATCCTCCATCGTTTGCTGCGCATATATATGGTGAAATAAATCTGACGAATGTGGCCGGATGTCACAGCTTAAATGCAAAATTGGTTATAACGATATAACTTCATGTTATTCTTGTTTCCTTTGACGTTGCAACCCGCAACTTAGATATAAGCACAAAGTACCAGCGGTTCAAGGCCTATCTCCAGACCATGTATCATCTCTACTCGCATTCAATCTTAACCAAGGCCCCTTTTGCTTGAATTCTGCAGAAGTACAGGTCCTTCTCGCTAAACATCCAGATCCCACCCTTGACGAAGCAGAAGTTCGCCGTGGTGCATCCAACAATTATCTTACCAACCAGAGTCCCATCCGGGGCCCAGACATGAACTCCATCCCCACAGCCGGAATACACATACCCATTCTCATCACATTTGATCCCGTCGGGCACCCCCGAATCACAAAACGCGAACGCCCTGCGGTTGGAAATCCGGGTGCCCCCATCAACCACGTCATAGACATATATCGTCGCAGCGTTTCGATAGTCGGCTTGGAACTTGCGTCCGTTTCCAGAGTGACTTCGAGCCTTGACGGCCCCCGTATCAGTGACGTAAAGCAAGGTATAGTCGGGGTTAAAGCAGAGCCCATTGCACATGTCGAATCCATCCGCTAGAGCGTAGCAGTCCTTTGTAGATGGTCTAAATCTGTACACCTGCGCAGGTAGAACGGGTTCAGGGCGGAAACCCTGCTCAAAGCCATACGTTGGGTCCGTAAACCAAACGTCTCCTGTGCCATGGTGGATCACGACATCGTTGACAGAGGAGAACTCTCGGCCGTAAAAGTTGTTGAGAAGAATCTCGGACTCCTTGGTGACTGGGTTAACTAGCACCAGGGCGGATGGGGTTGACTGGTCACCCTGGGAGCAATAGAGGAGACGATCTGGCTCCTCGCCCCCGTTTCCAGCACCAGAGGAATGGGTAGACGCAGTCTTCCCAGGATAATTGCATGCTCCATTCGCCTGCACGACATCCGGATAGTCGAGCTTCTCGATTTCATGCGTGTCACAGTTTATGGCGTAGAGATTGATGGGATCGCATGTCTGGAAGTTGGAGGTGAAATACACCGAGTTGGTCTCGCGGATGTATACGCCCGCTTCATGAGCGAACTGCTCTCCTTTCCCCCTTCGCTCCTCGATTAGCTGTATCTTTGGATCCGAACCCACGACGTCTCCGATGAACCGCTCATCGAAGACACAAAACGAGGGTGTCCTGCCCAAGGAGCGGGCATACTCAGGGTCCTTGACAGCGCGGGGCTTGTCAACATGGACTATCGTTGAGATTTCTTCTTTCATTATTATTTCCTCTTCTGGTATCCCTTGATGCGCGACTCCTCAGGAGGGGCTTTCACATATCCTTGTCTAGGTCTCAGCATGTATCTCGTCTGCTACTCTATATGGCAGTGCTTGAATGGGGTGGTTGGTGATTTGTTGGTTGAGCGGACATTGATCAGTTGAAAAATTGGTACACTAAATCGGGCTGTGCTCTAGTTTCTCCACCGGGTAGCTAGCTAGCTGCTAAGCTGGCTGACCTGACTGACTATTATAAAACAGGGTTATATCAGATGAAGCTGGTTAAAAATACAAAATATTGGTTATGGAAGATTGACGGGGGTCGTTGGCTGCCAAAGAAAAAAAAGGGGGAAGAACAGCAGCAAAAAAACGCCAGTGCGACATGAGATTATTATATTTTTTTTGGTTGAAAATTGCAGTTCCATATCACAAAGGACATTGCTATCTGGAAGACTCAGAAAGGACAGAAGATAGGGAAGTGGAATACAGGGGAAAGTAAGGGTAAATGGAAATGCAAGTGACCGCTTTGATATTCCGGAACAACATTCACACGACGCCACCGTTAAATAACATGAGAAATGGGAAGAAAATTGTTTATACGCAAGAAGACGAATTGAGTATGCAGTATCCGTACATGGTCCGAGTAAACAGAGGGCGACAGGAGGAGCTCACTCCTCCTCCACTTCGGCGGCCTTCATGTCAACATCCTTGTCAGCTTCGTCACCGGCTGCCGGAGATTTCTCGTCAAAGAGGTCGTCGTTATCATCATCTCCGGCAGGGGTAGCTGCTTTCGGCTCCTCGTCCTCATCCTCGTCATCTTCAATTCGCAAATTGGCTTTCTTTCTTCGTCGTTGAACAAGGTCGTCTTCATCCTGGTCCTCATCGTTTCGAGCTGCTGGCGGCGAGCTGGCCTTGTCGCCATTAACTTCAGCAGCAGCTTCCGCATCGCTGTCGGAGTCAACGACAATTTCAGTGCTCTTGTATTTGTTCGCCTTTGCGTTGCCGCGTCGTTCAAGACGTCTTCTCTTTCGGGGGACAGTGGTGCGTTCTCCTCCTTCATCAGACGATGAACCGGAGCGTTGTGGTTCACTGTCTTGTCTTTTCTTCTCTGCGTCTGCCTTCTTCTTTCGTTTGCCGCCCTTGGATTTCTTTTGTTGCCGTTTATACCGTTCTCCAGTTTCACTGTCAGTAGTGTATTCGGCAGCTTCCCTGGCCCTCTCTTCATCAATGCGAATAGCAGTGAGCCGCTCAGCTTCTTCAATCATGACCTGGCGCTCTTCGGCGATCTGTCGCTTCCTTTCTTTCTCTGCCTCTTCGGCCTTGCGTTTCTCCTCTTCACGACGCTTCAATTCTGCGTCACGGAGTTCTCGGGCCTGCTGCAGTTTGGCGGCATTCTTCTCTTCGTACTCCTTTTGGCTCTGAAGAGTTCGCTGAAGCTGGTTACGGATAGTGTTTCTACCCATAGTTGCTCGAGATTCTAGTGAACTGCGAGGATAAGGTGGGTTCTTTGAGCTGGCAATCTTGTCGAAGGCTTCAATTGCTGCTGTCAGGCCATTCATTGCCTCTTCAACGTCCTCGGAAGACTTCTGGGCCTCAGGAAGACTGATTGCAAGGAGAGCTATCTCGTTCTGAACAAAAGCAATGTTGAATTCGAGATGTATTTGGTCAGGGGCAGCGGAGCGGGCGCGCTCCGCATATTCCAGCGCGGTCTTCATGGCCGTCAGGTTCTGTTCCTGCTTGCCCTTGAGGAACCAGACACGGCCGAGACAGGCAAGGATCTGAGCATCTCTGGCTCTATCCTTTGAGAGTGAGATTTCATACTATCCGCTCGTTAGTATCATAGAAAGTAAGATAAAGTAAGGTCTGAAGGAACATACGTTTTCAATAGACTTGGTAAACTGCCTCAGCTCTGCAAAGACGTGGCCCAGGTTCAGGTATACAGTCGAGTCACGTAGAGTGTCTCGAACTTTTGAGAAAATCTGGACAGCGGTCGAGTAATCTTTGCGGTCATCGACCAAAGCAATGGCGATACCTTGAGCTGCGTAAGCGTTCTTTGGATCAAGTTGAAGAGCTTTGTCGAAGAATTCGACGGCCTTCTCATATATCTTGTGCCGTTTCTCTTTTTCCTGCTCACCGTCTCGTCTCATATCTCGACCTGTGAGGAGATATAGGTTACCCATTCCCGTTAGGGCGTACCGGTCATGTTTGTCGTAACCCTGTAGAGTATGCTTGTAATGCCGCTGCTCATGGTCCTCTGCTAGGTTGGCAACGCGACGCTTGGTCTTGTTGAGATACCAGCCGTAAAGTGCCCGCACTTCCATGTTGGACGCTTCTGTCTCGTAAAGCTTGGTCATCTTCTTTGCGCCTTCGCCGCTGGGATCCTGACGCAGAGAAATATAGGTGAGTCTAGCGTTGGCTTCGACATAATCACTGTGTCTCTCAAGCAACCCTTCGTAAACCTTTTTGGCTTCATCTAGCATGCCTGCTGCCTCATATGTCCGGGCCAGGTTATAGCTGATGGTAGTAACATATGCATCAGTGTCAGAGGCGTCTTCACGTTCCTGCGCTTGTACACAGGCGTTCAGAGCAGTTTGGAGCATGGTCCTAGCCTGCTCAATCTTGTCGGCCTGGTAAAGGAAGCAGCCAATATTATTAAGTAGCTGGGGCGAGAGCCTCTCGCGAAGAATATCGGTCATGGCTTGTTCGCCTTCAACATTGTCGGGCTTTTCGTCATCGGGAATCTGAGCCAACTGCATTTCTTCAACCTGGTTGAGGCATTGCATGCTCTTGTCTGGGGCAGAAGTCTCGTATAACCTAGCAAGGTAGAGCAAGACAGACTCATCTGGAGTGAGTTTCTTCTTGTCAGCTTTCCAGGAGGTTCGTACAGATTCGAGTAGCGAGATCGCCTTCTTAGCTTCCGCAGATTTGTCTTCCTTTGAATTGGCTGCAGCAAACACTTCATCTGCATAAAGAGATCCGAGAAGAGCCATGGCTTCAGGGTTTTTAGTCTGCTGGATGATCTTTTCTAGGCGGAATTTGGCACCATCAAAGTCCTTCCTCCTGACTAGCATCTGGACTGCACCGAATTTAGCCGGAGGGTATCCCTTGTCTGCGCCACCTCTTGCTTGGTCGGATCTGTTATAATACTCCAGTGCTCGTTCCGGATCACCTTCGGTGTGCTCCTTTCTAGCTAGTAAATACCAGCCATCACTTGCAATAGCATTGACATCCGTCAGCTCAATAGCTTTGCGTGCAAGGGCCTCGACAGTCGGGAAATGTTTGCGAAGAAGGAAATAGCTGCCGAACGTGGCGCAGGTCATCGGGTACTCCTTGTCAAGTTTGAAAGCCTTCTGGGTGTATTGGGTCATAGCAGTCTTGTAAAGTGAACTGAATTCTGGATCACTCGTCGAATGGCGAGAACTGTCATGTAGGTAGTATGCAGCCAAAAGGATATTAGCGGCCTTTGAATCAGGGTTCAACGACAAGGCTCTGTTCCATGCAACTTTCGCCTGATCTTTAAAGTCAAGCTGCCAAAGACAGCATCCAATTCCAATTCTGGGATCTGGGTCTCTCATGCTAGGCATCTTTACCAGAGCCTCCTGGTATCCTTCCAAAGCCTCGGCATAACGCCCAAGCATATAGCTCGCTCTCGCGCGACCCAAAATAGCCATGATGTTCCGGCCTCCAAACGCCTTTGCAGACTCGTCAAAACATTTTATGGCTTGCTGAAGCGACTCGACTCGTTCTGAAGTGTCGACGGTACCGGGTCTAAGAGGTTTCGAAGGAGGTTGGAGTGATGCACGCAGGATAGAAAGCACGCCGCGAGCAAGAAACAAGGGGGGGAAAGCAGGGTTCAAGCGTGAAGCCTCATTCAGAGTCGCCGTAGCAGCCTGTAAGTAGAACTCCTTCGTCTTTGCCTCGGAATGCAGCTGGCCCTCTGGAGCGACTCGAGGAGCCTGTCTGCTCTTGATCAGGTACAGCCAGCAGATCCAGCCTAGCAAGCTGAGCCTTTCCTTTGTAGCACCATGCGCAAGCGAGGCAAGGCCACGGGTAAGAATCTCAATAGCATGGTCAATTTGTTTCTGTTTGGCGTATGCCAGGGCGATAATAACCCAGAAGTTCTTCGCGGCCTTTTCGTTGTCTAGTAGGGTACAGAGCTCTGTAGGGTCGTCCGGAAGTTCTTGTAAGCTGATTTCGACCTCACTGTCGAAAGTAGAGGCGGGAATATCAACGGCGGAAGGGATATCAGAGAAACGACCTGTGTCTTTGGCCATGGCATCCGGGCCGTTGACGCTGCTGCCGTTGGCAAGGCCGTTCTGAATGGGCGCCATGACGGGGCGCGCAAAGGTGCTGCTCTGCTCGTTGCTTGTCGAGGCGAGAAGAAACTGGTTAGGAGAGCAGGGAGAAACAGGAAGATCTCATCGTCTGCCCGGTGAATGATGGCTCGACTCTCGAGGGAGAGACTGGATTCGCCTCTTGCGCAGAGGAAGAGAGGAAGAGGACGAGCTGAAAGCGACGGAAGCAACACTTGGGATTTTGTTCGCCTTTTTTGATATACGAAAGTCAGAGCTCCAGAGAGGAAAAGCTTGGCATCACGTGACGCTATCAAGAGGACAGGACGGGGCGGAGGACGGCGAGGTATAGAACAGGGCAAAGGACAATAGAAGAATAAGAAGCGAGGAAGAGAGTACTCCGTAATAGGGATATGAATGTAATGTCCGTGGGGACTGGTAGCTATTATGGTATTTAAGAGTTCGTGCCCCCGCCCCTAGCCAACAACGCCCAAGTAAGCTCTATGCCATCCATCATAACTTCTTCCCCCTGACCTTGATCGACTTGAACGCCTCGAAAAAATGAGATAAAACGGGGGAATAAGGGTGAAAAGGATAAAAAAAAAGAGACATCGCTATTGTAATTCCAGGTAAGAGCATAAAGTCATTCAGCCGTAATACCGTCGGTAAATATGAATAAGAAAAGCAATGAAAGCAGGAACGGCAAACACCCTGCAAATCTCGGCCCAATAGTTAAGTCGGACTACGCCCTCGACGTATCCGTAATTCTTGCCAGAGGTGGTCTGGATATCAGGGCTGTTTGGGTCCATCTCTACGAGGTCTGAATTCTCAAAGGGCGGGAATTTGCCAGTTTCAATAAAAGTGTCCAAGAGTTCGTCCTTCTCGGCCCAGCGTTCGAATAGCCAGGCTTCAAATTCCTCTTGACTCTCCAGCGGGATATCATCGAATGCAAAGCGTCTCCAGTAAAAGTTAACAACTCTTGGTGGGCGACACTTGAGATAGGTAGAGCGAATGGTGAAGTAGCTATCAGGAAAGCTTCCCTTCCTATACGAAATTGTCAGTATGTCAACGCATAGATAATACTTGTATTGCTACGAAGCAATTGAAAAAAACTTACGGTGGACCTTCATATGCCATAGTACAGTCGTAGACATATTGGACACTGCCCCTGAGCTGTTGAAGGCAGAAATAAAGCCCCGTAGAGCGTGGATGAAGCTCATGCTTGAGAGGAGGGATGCCCTTCTTCTCTCCATAAGCATCGCTGACTTGTTTGGTATGCAGTGACAGGTTTGTCCCCTCGGGGAAGATGAGCAGCCACATGGGGTCGAATAGAGGATTGCCAGATGCAGACTGTCCACGCTTGATGGAGAGCTTGCTCAGGCGATGCTGCAGCCTGGGCTTGTCTGCCATCCATTTGCGGGCCATGAAGATGAATCCGTAGAGGGTCATGCCCTGGCCAACCAATGGGATATACTTGAGTGACTCCTTGAGAATGATATAGATGTGGCCATGCATCTTGTTGGTGTAAGTCACCCACCAGAGGTACAGCCAGTCCGTGTAGACCTGGTGATTTGCTATTAGGACCAGACGCTCAGGGAAGTTAGTTTTGATGCCTCCGTTGGATGTGAGAGTGACCTGTCCGAGTACACTGCGGTCACCACTGATGCGCACCGGGGTCGGGGCACTCCACTCGGTCAGCGCCGTGATGGCGAGACCAAACGACTCCTTGGTCAGGGCAATCCATGTATTAAAGTACTCTTTCTTGATGACATAGAGCGGCAGGCCGACGACCTGGGCGACCACGATGCAGGTGCAGCAGCAGCAGAACCAGGCAACTATGAGAAAGCTGCGGACAAGCTGGACGAGGATGCCATAGTTTGCCGGCTCTCGCTCGTACATATGCCTTGATGACTTCATCAGTTCGGGTCTTGTGCTGTTCCTGGGTAGTGAAGCCATCTTTCGGTGTCTTGCTCGAGGCATCAACAGTGAGTAAGAGGGAGTTAGCTGTTGATCTTCGACGTTGTAGCTTGGGCTGGGCCTTATATCTGGTCATGAACAAGCTTCTTTTTCCTTCTTCTAAGATCCGTGGGCAGGATGCCGCAGCGTTCCGACGCTGCTAGCTAGCAGATCGCTGGTTCTTATAACAAGCAAAAGCAAGCTCCAGAGGCACAGCTAGCCACGTGTTAACCAAGCGTGATGCCGTCACTTTCACAAACAAGCCTGTGAGATGGTTAAAGTGAGCAGCTATAGGTGTGAGAAGTGAACATAAACAAAGAGAGACAGAGAGACAAAGGAAAAGTCCCAAGTTCTGGACTGGCCGTCTTGCTGCCTGATAACAACTCTGGAGGCAACAAATTGGCAAGCACTGCCCCTTCGTTAGTCCTGGCTTAGTTTACTTGCAACCAAGTTAGCTCCTCACTTGTACCCCGAGGTTCTTCTTTTTTACTTCTACTTTTTGTCTCTTCTGACCTTTCTTCGACGGCTTCCTACTCTTGTCCTACCATGCTGCCACACTCCATCTTCCCGCCTTTCTTCTCTGCTTCTTCTGCTGCTTCTTCGTAATATCAAACATGGCCTTTTTTCTACTATCAAAAAGTTAAAACAAAGTGCGGCCCAAGCGTTGCTGAGTAATCAACGGGAAGTATAAACTATAATCCGACTTCAAAATAGGAATCATGTGACTTCGGGACTTGGCATCGTGAGGTCATAAGAAAAAAGCCGAAAGACGACGAAAGGGAAAAAAAAAGAAGAACAAGAGACGAAGGTTCAGGATGCTGGCATAGACGACGGTAGACGGAGCTGAACAGCTGTTCGACATACCTGGACCATGCCTATCCATCGGTGCAAGGATTTCACCTAATAGCATCGAACGGAGGAGAGACTGTCCCTCTGGATGGAGAGCCTCAAGATTTCGAGGAGCTTGCGGAAGAGGAGTCAGAAGAGCGAGAAGAGCGAGCAGCCGAAAAGGGGATACCAACATACAAATGTATGGTCCCATTATTCCTTTATGCGTAGACAGAATCTATACTGATAAGCCATAGATATAGTCATAGCACGCCCTTCCACTGGAAATTAAAACAAGCACAAGTCATATATCAACATTTGCAATGAAGCGTCGTACCAATATACTGGCTGCTATAGCCTCTCCCGCTTCTATCTTCCGTCGTACGTTTTCTGCGAGCTCGAGATTGAGACAGATAGAAGATATCCGAACCCTTCCTGGGAGGGTGTTTCCAAAATATGAAGGTGCGCGTTAGTGTTCTGCATGTTATATCTCATGCTTCTGACTGCTAACCGTGAGATAATTCTACGAATAGAGTCCGGAGGAAGTGATTTACTTGCTCTGAAATGGCCTGGCCCGCCCAGGAACATTCTGTTGATGAAAAAGAAGGGTGCCCCCGAAGTGACTCAGTCGGTGGTTGAGTTCGCAAAGTAAGTTCTAAAATTCTGGAAAAGGGAAAGGGGCACTGACAATGGTTATAGCCATATAAAATCGAACTATTCGCCGATATCCGTGATTCTTGAACGAGATACGGCCACGGAGATACACGACTCCCTCCCGTTTCCGGTATATACTAATCTGGCTGAGTCGTCGATACCTCCGGAAAAGGTAGACCTGATAGTAACATTGGGCGGAGATGGGACCATTCTACGGGCCTCCTCACTCTTCGCAACGTCCAAGATCGTACCGCCGATACTCTCGTTCAGCATGGGCACGCTAGGGTTCCTAGGGGAGTGGAAATTCTCAGAATACAAGGGAGCGTTCCGGGAGGTTTACATGTCTGGTGCCGGAGTTGGCGAGCGAGCACCCGCTCTTCTCGAAAATGGAGAAAGCAGTGGTACCTCTGCTGCTGCTGCTGCTGATGCAGGAGGGTGGTCGACGCTACGGGGAAAATCGATGGGAATGTCACGCAGTGCACGTATCCTGGTTCGCAGCCGGCTACGAGTAGGAGTGTTCACACCGGACGAAGAAGCAGTGCACAGCAACGGGGTGACGCTGACCTCGCCCAAGGAAGCAGACACGGGCGTCTATGCAATGAACGAAGTAGTCATCCACCGCGGCCGACAGCCTCATCTCGCCATTGTGGAAGTCTTTGTTGGCGGCCGTTTCCTCACCGAAGCAGTAGCGGACGGGATGATCGTCGCGACACCCACCGGCAGCACAGCGTACAGCCTCTCGTGCGGCGGGAGCATCATCCACCCTCTCGTCTCTTCCCTGCTGCTTACACCGATCTGTGCACGAAGTCTAAGTTTCCGGTCCCTGGTCGTGCCGTCCAGAACACCGGTGACGCTCCGGCTCAGCGAGAAGAATCGTGGCCGGGAAGTCGAGGTGAGCATAGACGGGGTGGCCATGAGCGAGGGCCTGCGAGTGGGCATGGAAGTGCGTGTCTGGGGCGAGGACATCAGGGTCGTCGACGGTGCCTGGTACGGTGGTGTGCCGTGTGTGATGCGCAAGACTGTTGGTGAGGGCGGCGCTGCTGACGGCTGGGTAGGGGGTCTGAACGGCCTTTTGAAATTCAACTACCCCTTTGGATCGGAGTCATGATGATGGTCGACGCAGGCTCACAGACATGTTTATCCTGGTTCCTTCGTTCTCTCTCCTTTTTTTTTTTTTTTCCCCTATCTTGGCCTGCATATAAATGTACGAGTTTTGCTCTCTTTGCCGTTGGTGATCTTCCGCCATAATATACCGGATCCCTGTGTTAATCCAGGCCTTTTCGCCTCTTGTCCTTGGAATCCTCGAGGAATATCATCAATATTGTCCCATAGCAAGTTCTCTTTTTTTGGCACTTTTGCTATCTCTAACACCCCTTTTTTTCTTTTCTTACCCGCGGTCCCAATCCTACACGTCTACTGAAACCGCTTTAAATTGGACAAATCGTACTACCATCTCTGCCGTGGATGTAGTGTGCGAATGTGTATATATATGGAACAAGCCTCCATATCCCGTCTTGCCTCTGCGTGTCTCAACGGGCTATCGAGGAGAAGAGAAATAGGGGAGAGGGGCCTAGCCAGCTTATATATATAACCAGCTACGCCGGAAGTTGAAACAGTTTTAACGTAGCTTGATGCATGTAAGGCATGTAAGTACCCGCACTCCATAGTCGAACCGTATGCATGCTCCAGCCACTACTGCAGCGTAGAGGGACAGGTTCGACCGCAATGCATCGACGGTAGGCTGGCCTGGCTCTGTTGCACTGGAGCAGAAATATATTGGCTGGTCCTCGAGCCTGGCTGGATCTGATAGATAGAAGAGCCATGGAAAGGGAGAAGACCTCCCCCCTTTCTCCCCTGGACGGTCGGCATCATCCACCACAAGTTCGCCCCCGGGAACTCCGCCTGAGGAGCTTGACTAAGGAATCCAACTAAAAGCCAACTTTGGCCAGGGGGCTAAGTTGGTACCTTGTAGTTAACAGAAGGCCCTGGAGCTGTTTGCTGTCGATATGCTGTTACTTGTGCCCCCGCTGAGCGAGCAGCCGGCATGAAGTGACCACTCCATGCGCAGTAGTATCCCGCCTGCAACATCCATCCCCAGCAGGCGAATTGAGCAGTGAACGGCGAATGGCGACAGTAGCGAGTCCTCTTCGTCGTCCCTCTCGATGCCCGTCTCCGGCCTGTTTTACGCTGGGAGGTCCACCCGGCGGCACGACTCCTCCCTCCGGCGGAGCAGGGGACTGTATCACTTTTGCCCGTCAAACCAGCAACCAATATAATCCTGTGGGTAGGCAGGGGACAGCTTGCTGGCTCAGGTCGACGTCGACCGAGCCTTTCCCGGTGCCTTTCTTGTGCTTCTTCTTCTTCTTCTACTCGTCTCGTCGAAGCAGTATGTCTGTCTGTCCCTTTTCCGCTGCCGAGTTGATCGCTCTCTAGCGCCCCCCCTGGCCGACCTGCCTCTTTGCCTTCGAGCGCCCTTAAAATCCATCATCACCATCATCGACCTTTTTTACCGTCGTCGTCTTCATCCTCAGCTTCATCGTCGCTTGATCTCGCGTCGTCGTCGTGTCTGGCGTCGTCTGCCGGCGGCCTGGTTGTCTGTTTGCTTTCTCTGCCCAACCGCCTCAAAAACCGAAACCGGATCTTCCCTCCCTCTCCCCCCCCCCCCCCTTCGCCCCCCCCTAAAAGCCACCTGAAAATCCACCATCGCTCGCTCACGCGCTCGCAAAGGAGGGAGCACCGCAACACCACGCAACAACTCCTCGACCCGGCGCCTCTCTGCTGCTATCAGTGGCAGGTCGTGTTGCCGGATGTCCTGCTGAGTCCTCGCTCTACTACTCTGCGGAAAGCATGCTCTTATCTCCATGGTCAGTGTCCCAACACCCAAGTGCCCATTCGCGTCGCA